CGTGCAGCACATCAGCGGCTGCGCGCGTGCGGCCCAGCAGCGCGAGGCAGAGGCCGCGCGCAGCTAACGAGGCGGCGCGCGCCGGCCGCAGAGCTAACGCGCGTTCGTGCCAGCGCAGCGCCGCGCGCGTCTCACCGAGCGCGCGACACGCGTGCCCCAGACCATCTAGTGTCGCCGCCCAACGAGGGTGCAGCTGTGTACCAAAGATACAAATACAGGTAGACACGTATAAACTCGGCTTTTATAGCCAAACTTTACGTTAAGTTCACCGAAAATTGTTAACAATTACATTTTATTGCATGGACTAATAGTTTCCATGTGTTTTCATAACAAATGAATTAAAATTTTGTGTACAAAAGAAATCAGTGAAATGAAAGCATAAAGAATAACAATAAAGTTGTTAGTCCTTCGAGCCGGATGTATCCCTGTAAAGGTTACCTGGTCGCGCTCATCCCTGGCGGCGTGTAGCGCGCGCAGCCAGAGTGCGCAGGCGCGCTCGTGGTCGCCGGCCGCGTGCGCCGCCGCGCCCGCCTCATGCGCTACGTATGGGTCGCACACAACGCGCGCGATGCGCTCCCATCCACAACTGTTCTCCGCGTTACTTTCGTCTGCCCCCACATCCGCGCCCTACATCGACACTCATGTTTACATGACGGCATTCTATTGTGTTGTTATTCGGTCAAGTTGATAGCGTAAATAAAAAGAAAACATTAGTAGTGCCCGCAATAACTTTTTTCGCAAGAATGTACCAGCTCGACCTGATACACGACCACACAAAAAACAAAAAAGTGACACCAAAAATCTTTGTTGTAAAACTAAGAAGTACTCGTAACGGACGACCTCATATGGAAAACTGAGCGAGTAAAGATCACGCCAAAGTGAAATGTGGACAAGTATTTGGTGGATGTGATACTAGTTTTTGCCCGCGACTCCTTCTGCGCTGAATTATAAAAACTATCAGTAGCCTCTGTGTTCTGCCAGACTATACATGCTGCCGTTCCGGAGATATCTAGTAACAGACATCCAAATATGCACATTTATAATATTAGTAAGAAGATTGTATGGATGAATTGTGTGTTGTGTCGTACCTCAGTGTCACTATGCAGTGTAGCAGCTCGCAGCAGGAAGCGTTCACACATGCTCACGTTGTTGAGCAACGAACATTCAACACCGACGTACAGTGCGGGCAGGTGGCACCCAGCCATCAGCTGCGTCGCCTGACACATACCTCGTTATTGTAGTACGTTTGTAAATAACCATAGCTTGGAATACTAAACATATATAATAAAAATGATAATCTAAAAAATTTCTTGACTGTTGCAAACTAGTTTCTAAAATCTCTCAAGATTTCGCACCTACAAAAAACGGTTACGTTAATAGCGAAAAACCTATACTAAATCAAATTAAATTGCATCTTGTAATAGTTTAACTTATTGAAGCTTAACGAGAATGAATATCACACATTTAACGTACAAAATATCTTTATCAATGTCTCTCTCTCTCTCTGCCTAGCTTGCCTCCCACATGGTGATGGGGTCACAAGGGCGAGAGAGAGAGAGTGAGAGAGAGAGAATGTCTAACCTTGAAATAAGCTGCCATCGCTTGATCATGTTCATTCTCAGCGGCGAAGCTGTGCCCATACGCCAGCCAGATGCAGCCAGCGCCGGGCTCCAAACTCTTCGCCTTGTTCAGATAACGACGTGCGAACTCACTCTTACCTGTCACAAGTCACACTAGCTGCACTCAGAGATAAAAGTCACTAAAGGGAGACGACGGAAGCGACTTATCGTGGGTTTCTGACTCAAAAATCTCTGTATAAAATATATCGTCATCCCTATCTTTCATCTTTGACAAAACAGAGATAACAATATGTAAACAAAGATTTCGATCATAGAAACCCACTGTTGTACAGGTAACAAAGTCTTACATCTGTTAGAAAAAGATAGATTGTCTTTTAAAAGGTATTTAGAAAGACATAGTTATATTTTACGACAGAATTTAACACTGACTTACCGATAAGGTAATAATAACATCCAACAGCAAACCACGAGGTCCACAATTGTGGGTACGCATCAACTAAAGCATGTGCGAAGGCAAATAGTTCTGCACTCTTTCTCAGTTCCACGAGACAGGCGGCCCTCACATCAGCGCAGGCCCAGGGCCCCGCCTGGTCTAAGGCCTTGAGGGCCTCCGCCCAGTGCCCCGCCGCAGCCAGCCGCCGGGCTTTACGGGCAGCGCCCTCTGAACTCCGTGCTAATACCATTTCCACCGAACTAGGCGTGGTAGTTGCACTTTCGGTAGAGTCACCTCGCTGTTAATTTTTAATATTATTGAGTTTCCATCAGACAACCACATTCAGGGTCTTTTATAAGTAGCTATGGGAGTCCCTAAGTTTACTTCTCTTACTAAATCTACATTAAGCGACCACTTAATGATTCTGAGCTAGGAAAAATATGTTTATAAACAAAGGTGTGACATCATCGGTGTCCTGTAATATATTGTTGACTATTAGTTCAGTTAATAACAAAGAAATAGTTAATACCTCGTCTGTGTTTGTAGGTGTGGCTTTCACTGGTGCATATCTTAGCAAACGATCTCTGTATGCAGTTCTGAGTAATGCAGCCTCCGCCCCGCTCAGCTGGTTGTTGATTGGTAGAGATTCTATAAGATCAGTCTCTGAAATAGAAAATATTTATACTACTTGTTTTGGTCAGGCTATTGAGAACATACAAGACATTTTTATCTTTCCAAAATAATTTCAATAATAATATTATATATTACTTTTTAAATGTCACGTAAAAGTAGCAAAAAAGGAATTCTTAATAAATAACAAGCAGGAAATTATTTAAATGTATTAAAACAAATTCATGATGAAGCAGAGTTAAGTATAAACTGAATGAAAATAATCGATAAATTTACTTAAGGTCCTTAAATAGTCTCCAAGGGAGAACTTTAGCGTAGATAAAGTATGGAATAGTTACATAACGAGATTGAATAAGTAGTAAACAAATCTGGGTCCAGCAATATGATAATGTACCCTCATTAGATACCACTAACCTTGTCTAGGAGTGAGTGCGTGTTGTTCTAAAAGTAGATCCAGAGCTTCATAGCAAGCACAATCAGCACGTAATGCTGACATCAGCTCTTCTGCTGCCGCTTCTCTTCTCTCCAATGCTGACAGAGCTCTTGCTTTCCACACCAAAACACTGGCTAGAGCTCTCTAATACAATCAAAACATAAGTCATGATTATATAATATTACATTTTATAGCTTTTTTAATTTTTGAGATAACAAGAGTAGAGAGTTAACTACCTTAAAATAATTGTTTTTTTTTATATCATAAGGTGGCAAACGAGCGAGCGGCCACCTGAAATCGCTGATATAGCGAAGTGACCGTTGCCCATAGACATACGCAGTTGTATATGCGTTGCCTACCTTTAATCGACGGAGGAGAGGATGCACAGAAAGAAAATATATTCCCTTTCGATGTATCCTCTCATCCGGAAATTCCACTTCCACTTCCCATCCTTTCCTTATAAGAAAAAGGTGGGAAGGGAAAGAGAACTAAATTAGGACTCCGGGACGCAAAATATTTTGTTTGTCCGTAGTTCAAAAGATATTAGATAATCAAAAACTATTCATAGAAGAGCTATACAGCCAATAATTTAAATTACTGTTACAACTCCTTTCAATTATCTTGATGGCTCAAGGTTATCAGAGTACATTCCCCCACATACGGCTATCTGCTGCTACACCTAAAATTGCTGAAGTTGAAGTTAAGAGCCAGCAAGATATTTGATAATACGTACTACAATAATGTGCATGAATATCTTAATATATATAATTCTTCTGTGAGTGTGTATGTCACTGAACTTCTCTCAAACGACTGGACTGATTTTGATGAAATTTTTTGTGTGTGTTCAAGGGGATCCGCTGGACAATGTTTTTTTTAATTATTTTTTAATTTATTAGTAGTTGTTGATATTGGAATGTTTTACAATGGATCCGACAGACGGCGGTACCATCGCAGTGTCAAATTTTAAATAATATTCAAATTAAAAACGTGTAGACAGGACAACGTCTGTCGGGTCCGCTAGTTAATTTACAATACTTTAACTTACATTGTGTGTTTGATCATGACTTCTTGGGTCCAGCAATGCTATATCACATTCATCTAATATGGACAGTGCTGTAGCAGGTTCTTTGGCAGAGTAGTAGGCTCGCATAGCCACTCCCAGGCAGAGAAGATGTCGTCTGTGATAATGTACTTTATAGTTGTAAAAAATTATCAAATAATTTAAAATTAAAAAAATTGGTTCAATTACAACCTGTGAAGTCCCCTGGAAGTGATAGCATGTGCTGCTCGGTGCAGCTCACCTCGTGAGAGCATAGTGCTGGCCAGCAGCCATATGTCGTCACCGCTGGCGGAGTCATTGCTTGTTGCAGCCGCAGCATCCGCCCAGAAAAATGCACTAGTCCATTGACCCTACAAATTACATCGAAAAAGCTAAATACGACGATGAACATCTTAATAGTAATAAAAAACCGCAACATAGTTGTAAATAAAGTAAATATTCAGTTGTTTACCAATTCAGAGTATTGTTTCACTAAAGATCGCATAAAATCAACATTTAAACAATCTGGACTGCTCCGACCGATAGATTCTACTTTGGCCATGGCAAAATTACGAACAGTGCTATATAACTAAAAACAATTTTTAAAGTTAATGTAAAAAGAGTTGTTTGTTTATATCTGATTTTCCACCGGTCACAGTCAAAATTGACGTTTTGGTCTGTAACTTTTGTGACATTTGTTTTTTTTTCTTATTTCGTAGAAAGGAAATTGTGCTTTTCGGATCTTACTAAATGCAAAATAAATATTCTTTTACACTTTGTTTTCATCGCTTTTATCATAAAAACAATTTAAATAAACCTCATTCCCAAGATTATCACCAATTCGTTTTAAAAAGCTAGCAAAGAATATTTCTTGTTACTGCTAACCTTGGTTTTTCCTTTTTCAAAAATTTATTCTTCTAAAGTGAACTCTAAAAATACTCAATTAATTTAAAACAAGAGGATTTATCAAATGGTAAGATATGTAATTAATATTAATATCATCAAAGGACATTTTTAATTATCTCCAGTGAAGCGCGTTGGTCGTCTTCCCATGCTGTCATTGACAATTCTAATTTTGATGACGGAAAGAAAAAGGTTATACTTATACATAGAAAAAGAGGGAATAGGTTGATTATGAGTTGCTTTTTATTGCTATAAAATTAAATGATATTACGACGACCTACCAATATCAGTTAATTTAATTTTAAAATTGTAAATAACAATTTTTTAATAGTCTAATACAATATAGATAGCAACGTGTCCTAGGGTTAGGCCATAAGGGAATCATGTTAGTTCGTTTGGCATAACATGAGTGAACGCAAAATGTGCAAGTTCTATAACTTAAACGTACCCGATCGACGGTCAGGTTCCGGTGACGGAGGCGCGCCTAATCATTTAGGTATTGAAGATGACGATCGTAATGAGGATGAAGGTATCCAACCATACGTACCACCCCATGAACACAAATTGGAGTACAGTTATTGGATGTGGTTCTCCCAACGGCCGTCTACTCGTGAGCTATCAACAACCACAACGGGCTACGGCCAGGTAAATCTTATTTTTATCATTGTTTTGACGTAAATTGTTTATATTTTTATTTATGTATCACCAGCATAACATTTGGCAATTGCGTATTGTAAACACGAGAAACATATTTGACAGTTTAGGATAAATAAAAATAGAAAATAACAGAAATAAACAGTAACAACTATTGTTGATATTTATAAAACTTAATATAATTAAGATAACAAAGTAAGTGTTTATGAATTTTCCTGAAATGAATTCCATTTGTAGTTGTTTTTATAAAATTAATATTTTGTATACTATCAACATGTGAAATTGTAATGTGAATATCAAAATACTGTAATAGAGTCCTACCAATGTAAACAATGATGCTTCCAGGATTTTTGTTTGTGAGGGTAGTTTTGAACAAAGTTAACACTCAAATAGTAACATCGACAAAAAAGATATAATTTTAATTAAATTCACTTTGAGATAAATGTCTCATAATTTTATATTTTAGCCACATTTGTAAATTTATAGTGTTTTGGAAGAACTTTAATCTCAGTAAGACATATTGATATCTTACTTCTACTATTATAAATGCGATTGGAGGGATCAATGGATGTTTATTAGAAGATATCTACAGAATGGCTGCATGGATTTTCCTGAAATTTGGCATAGATTTAGAGCATATTCTGGAAGAGTACATATTAATTACATTTTTTAAAATTTAGGGACAGAATTGTGGATGGCAGCTAGTAGTCTTATAAGATTCATACCCGAGAGCTTGTTCATTAGAAAAATATTCTTAAAGGTAAATCGGAGTTTTATTTACACTGTCATGTGATTTGTAGGCGTTACGTATGGTTGGTCGCATGGGAAGTGTGGAGCAGTGGTGGGGGTTGTACTCGCACTTGTCACGCCCTGACGAGCTGCCACCTCTCTCCAACCTACACCTCTTCAAACTCGGCATCAAGCCTATGTGGGAAGACCCTGCCAATGTTAATGGTGGGAAATGGGTAAGTAATGTTTTCTGTGTGCCTAATAATGAGGTTAAAATAAGTTATTATACTTTTTATTTATAATCTTTTTTTGTTACTTAGTTTATTGATAGTAAAAAGTTGTAAGTTATTAGTTCTTATTTTTGATTTAAACATTGTATAGAACCAATTGTTACTTTGGGCAGCCTGGCTTATACTTATATGTCTTGTGCGTATTTGGAGCCATCTAGATGTTTGAAATATACATGAACTGTGTTACAGGTTGTAAGACTGCGCAAGTCACAGACTGGGCGCGCGTGGGAGGAGCTGTGTATGGCGATGCTTGGGGAACAGTTTATGGTGGGCCCCGAGCTCTGCGGTATTGTTCTCTCAGTGCGCTACCTGGTTTGTAACATTTGAAATACATATAGGAAAATTTGTAATGAATTATATTGTTATCTGTGAAAGTGAATAAGAGTGGATGCTAGTTTTATATACAAAGGAAGACTAAATGTCATTGTGCCAATTCTCCATACAGAAAAAAGTTGGATGTTGAGATTGAAACCCCATGTTAAGACGACATAACTCGTGTATATGTTTTATTTGTGTCTACATACTTTTAAATCAATTTTTTGTTGAAGGATGAGTTTAGATGGTAAAGGAAATAGATTTATTAGCAAGATTACTAAAATGGTAGGCCGTCAGCAATGTCTATGGTTTCTGAATTGACTGTTCTGTTTACCAGGAAGACCATTTAGCAGTGTGGCACAGAACGGCAACAGATTTAGCAGCAGCTGCCCGGGTCAGGGATGCTATGAAACGGATCCTGCAGCTGCCGAGTACAGTGAATTTAGAGTACAAAGTCCATAGGGACTGCTTGCGTGCGACTAACAGGCAAGAGGAGGAGATGAACCATCGCTCCTAGTGACACTACCTCCTTAACCCCACCATAAATCTCTTCGTCTCTCACTTTGTTTTAATATACCAATAGATGGAGCTTTTTTATTTTTTAATCCAATTGAATTGTCTTGTATTTTTTTATTTATTTTATGAGAATTTGTAGTCTAGTATCATTGTTTATATATTTGCATGGGATCAAATTGAATTAAAAATAATGAATTTGAAATAATTAATAGTCTGTATATTTGCATTTATTTCTTCTATTTGCAAGATATGAATTTAAATTTTGAGGTTATGTTTGTAATATTTTTGCAGTTATGAGATTTTTATGAATTATGGAATGGTTTTAATTCGTTTTAAAATTAATGATTGTTCTTTTATAATTAAAATATGAATTTTTCGCGCCAAAACGCACAAATGAATTTGTATTTCAATGCAAAAGTTGCCATAATTTTGTTTAAAATTGATACCAAAGGCAAGAATTTTTATTTTTCTTTTTAAGAATGTTTTAAATTTCATTATAATATTAAAATAAAGTGAGAGAGTATCGTAAAGTCGTAAATGTTTCTCACAAAGTGATAGTACAGACTAACAGATGTAAAGAATTGTATATATATGGATAGGCGAGACGTCTCCACTTGACGAATGACTCTTGTGAGAATTGTTTTGTTGCCAAAATCAAGTAAAGAAGAACTGTATTAACCAGGTCATTGACAAAGGACATGGTTGCCGGATTATTAAACAAAATCGAAAATTTCAAATGTGTTTGTTTTTTCCCCCTAAATATTCAACCGAAATATTTTTAATATTTAAATATTTTTCAAGGAGCGTCGGTGGTTCAGTGGTTTAAGCACTTGACTTGCAATATGCAGGTCCTGGGTTCAAATCCCGCCATGTATCAATGTGTTTTTCGATTTCCGATTTACATATGTTCATTTATCCGACGTTCTTACGGTGAAGGAAAACATCGTGATGCAATCTGCACATATCTGAAAAGAAATTCAAAGATATGTGTGAAGTCAACCCGCACTTGGCCTGCGTGGTTTGACTATGGCCTAATGACCCTTAAGTGAGGGTAGGCTCCGAGCCCCTCAGTGGGGACGTATAGTGAGCTGATGATGATGATATTTCAACCAAGTATGTGTAAACACTGAATAAATGAGCCACAGAACATCCCAGGATACTTAAACAACAATTAATGATTTAATATGAATTTAATATGAACACATTGCGTACTTACATCTATGCAAAATTTCATCGAGATTCAAACAGCCTTTCTGGAGGTACAGTCAGCGTCATATAGATCGTCACAGACAAGATATGCAAATATATAGGTACATCAAAAGTAATCAATTATATCGGTACAACAAAAGTCCTCAAAATGATAGATACATTCACCCTGCTCAAATACATCGGTACATACACAGCGTCAAATATATGAGTACATGCAAGATGCTCATAAATATCGTAGCAGCCACAGCGTCATAAGTAACGAAGCAGTCAAGGTGCGCAAAAATATCGGTACATTTGACAAAATTGAACTCTATCTCTATATACTTGTGATACAATTTGGAATAAACTACTTCTGTTACATTCATTTGACACTTTGCATCAAACCGTTTTTCAAAATTTACTAAAAATGTTCGACGCGGATGACAGATATTAGGTAGATAAAACCAACATCAAATTTAAGTTTGTCATATATGCTAGTTTGGTCTCGTGGCCTTACCGTTCGCCGCCGTTGGTACGTAAGTTCGGCGGTTCAAATCCCAAGCAACTATTTTTTTTTTGATATTTTAACTTTTTAATTTTAATATCGAAGCACATGTAATTAAACTCTATCGCCGTAGTTATTAGGTACTTTTTGATATTGCCTTGGACTAATGAGTTTGACCGTTAAAGTACTTTTCTATTTCAAACAAAAATGAAGGAGATAAAGCGATGCTATTGGCATGTAATTTGTTTATTACTCATGTTTGTTAAACTTGTATCGGTAAAAATAACACTTTTACTTTTACCTTTTACTGATACTGATTATATTTAAGAAACAAAGAAAAAAAACTGAATGTCAATATCCAAACTACATCAAATTTTCGGTCGATTGCAATAAACATTCCAGTGTGCGTGGGCGCGCACACATATGTAGATAACACTTGTACGTATAGTTTCCTCGCGTACCATTCTTAAAACCCGCTAAGACAATCCACGCTCCGCCCACTCACTTTACCGGCGATGGTCTGACCTAATTGTTGTTAACTTTATTTAAATTTCTTTCTACCCGACAGCGAAAATTATAAAAAAAAATTGTCGAGCAAAATTTTACATTACCAAATTTTTACTGGTTATGAAAAAATAACCCCGTGATTGATAAAATGAAAAAAAGTAGTCTGAGATTCGAACCGGTAAACTTACATATTACGGCAAACATACTAGAATACTGCGCCAAACTAGTATATATTGTGACAAGGCAAAATTTGATATTAGTTATTATGTATCTGTCATATTCGGCGTGACAAACTTTTATAATATATTTAAGCGTTATGACAGGAGAAGAAAAATATTGGGTTGCCCAGTAAGTTCGTGCCGCTTTATAAGGAAAATTGAAACCCTGTTCTCTTAAATTTTTGGAAATGTTTTTAAATTATATTGGTACGACTCTATACCTAAAACGTCTTTTATTTTTGGCTAAAATTTTAAAAATTAGTTTTTATCTCAACCAATGAAATGAAATTATTCACAATATAGAAATTTTTGTGACGTTTGATAATGGTGGAAATCCGAAAATGAATCCACTTCAGCTACAGTCTATTGTAAGCTTTATATCGAAAATCAGAACGAACTTTCCGGACAACCTATAATGTTAATACAAAGTGTCAAATGAATGTAACAGAAGTAGTTTATTCCAAATTGTATCACAAGTATATAGAGATAGAGTTCAATTTTGTCAAATGTACCGATATTTTTGCGCACCTTGACTGCTTCGTTACTTATGACGCTGTGGCTGCTACGATATTTATGAGCATCTTGCATGTACTCATATATTTGACGCTGTGTATGTACCGATGTATTTGAGCAGGGTGAATGTATCTATCATTTTGAGGACTTTTGTTGTACCGATATAATTGATTACTTTTGATGTACCTATATATTTGCATATCTTGTCTGTGACGATCTATATGACGCTGACTGTACCTTCTAACAAACATCCATCCATCCAAACATTAGCATTTACAATATTAGTAAGGGAAAGGTATAATTGACTTATGCTTGCACACTCTTTGAGGTCGTTATAAAAATGTTTGAATTACGAAATAAAACAATTACATTCTTCTAGAAAATATATTTTAATACATTAAAATTTTAACAGACATTTATTTTTCTCAATGAAAATAGAAAATAAATCATATAGGTCAGCTCCAGCTGTCGAAGAATCTCCACGGAACGTGACTAAATTTACTATTCACTACATAAACTAGGATATTACCTAATTTTACTTCGATTTAATTTATTTTATACTAAGTTGTGAACACACCAGTATTATGTATACACAGGTAACAAAAATCTAGACTGAAAAACAGATTTTTATAAACATAATAATTGCAAATATGAATAAGTCTTATGTAGAATTGACAAAAAAACTTCATAATACAAGCCTAACAATAAACAGCCTCAAATATAACAAAACATTATTGACAACGTCTCAAAGAAAATATGGGCGGAATTTATTATTTTATTTTTAACAAATTTTATAATTTTTTCTAATCACGTAATTTAAATTGCAAATTATTAAATTAAAAACAATAATTATTTAGGCCATCCAAACATATGTACAAGCAAAGCAATTTTAAAGCTCATATACATTTCAACAAAATAAGCTGCAATGTGTTCACAACCTAACACTGACATCCAGACAAAAAATACCTTAAACTTATCTGTATTTACATTTGGCAACATTGCTTAGTCTATGGTTGGTGATATGCTCGCGGCATCGGGCAACACTGGCAGCCCTTGATATTTTTTTCATTACACGAATATGCTCTATCAATCACAATAATTTCCAATGATAATTTTATTACGATTCAGAAATTTTCACGTCTAAAAGTGCATTCTTTAAACAATTTCAGACATAACCTATATTTAAAGAAAATCATACATTTAAGTAATCGAAATTAATCGTAATTTAAAATATGATTTTCTTTAAACTAATTTTCTAAACGACAATATTAAAAAGATCACAAAACTCCGCTATGCAACAACACTTTCCAATTTTAAAACTACATTTTTTTTTTCATTTATTTATAACCTATATTAATGACTTGCGTCTCTTAAACTAGGTCAATTGCTTTTGATTCATAATAAGCACTTGGTTAGTGAAAAAGAAACAATAAGTAATATAAATAATGGCAGAATTTCTAATCATAGAATTTATTTTTAGCCTAGACTTATAACCTACAGATATAACCATAAAAGTGAGGCAAAAAATCCTATGGAAGGACTTTATTAGTATAAATTTCATCATTGTTGTCATTTATCGAAATTGACATTTCGACTTTCGTTTAATGTCAATTTTGTTATGAAACTATCTATAGGTTATATATCTATGGTATCGATATTAGCAATGTTTTAATATATAATATAAACATTCTCATCTTAACCCTTAATTCAACGAATTTTTTTGTAGCAAAAAAACTGTTTTTTTTTAGTAAAGTCTTACTTTCGTAATTCTCTCTAAACTAGTTCAGTAGATTTTTTTTAATTAGTTGTTCGTCACACTGGACACCATCGAATTAAGGGTTAACCCATTCAATGCCACAACTTTTACGAACGATATAACTCAGGTCAGTGGCACTGAATGCTTACTTATTTGCACAAATAAAAAAATAACTGGATATTTATCAAATATGAAATAATATGAGATATATAAAAATATTTAAACGCCATATTAACTGCTAATTTTCCATAAGTGTTTGTTTTTCTAAAAACCATAGCGATAATACTCAATAAACCTATTAGTTCATTCAAGAAAGATTTCTTTGTAAATGACAGATGGTCGCAAGTAAAATTATTAAAAATAAACATACGTTAAATCCTACTCAGCCATACGGCTATTAGTACATACATCAAAAAATTCACTTAAAATAATATTATAAAAATTATACTAGAAAAATATGATTTGTTAATTATCTTACTAAATAAATATAAAGCTATTTACGGCCAGTAATTGTTAAAATCTAATAATTAGGCCTATACAAAAAAAAAATTAACAGTTTCAATGCCACACTTATCTCGTACTAAAAGTAACACAAGTATCTGGCATTGATTGTTGAAATATGCTTCCAATATTGCTTAAAAAATGATTGAAGACTAGACTTTGTAAAAAGTATAAGTCAATTATAAATGCATTTTAATTTTGAGCTAGACGACGAAAATATTACCAAAAGATTAGAAGGAAGAAAAATTTACTGAAAAATATCAGTCATTCATATTGCTGTTTCAGTTTTTTCAAGGAGAATGAAAGAGAAGAATACTATAAGCTAAGAGCCTATGATAACTGTTTGGTGAAAATTTCAACCAATACCATCGTTAGATAATCAAAAAAAGTTATTTTTCTATAGCAGGCAAGATTAAAGAAGGCTAATTGAAGCCAAGAAAATCATACGATATTAAACACGATTATTTTAAACAATAATCTCTTTAGAATTTTTGATAGTCAAAAAAGTCAGAAATATTTATAACCGTATCCTTAGAATGTAAAATAATCGATACAATATTTTGAATCGATGTCTCGAATCAGATACATTACTATTTATGTCACATTGACAGCTGTCAAAACATTTCTGTAGTAAAAAAAAAGATTATCGAATCGTTATTTTCTTTAGCCAATGATATAATAATTCAAAACTTTCATGTTCCCTTATAATAATTGTACTTTCAATACTGATTGGATGAAAAATAATTAAAAAAAAATGATTCCTATAATACAATCATTACAAATACGATTGATGAAAAAAATGGGCAAATTTTAAACATTTTTCAAATCAAATAGATTCAAAAATTGAATCTAAAACAAAAAACCGTGATTTTCTACTTAACATTTTTGTTTCTTTATCAACAAATAAAGGAACAATAGGAAGGAGTTCATTGCAGTTCACAGGTACCACAAACATGATAAAAATTCGTTGTACTGACCCTTATAATTCAATCAGGGGCAGATCTTGTGCGACTGGTCAGCAGACTTGTTGTTCAGCTAACTCGTGGATGAGCAGGGGGGTGGTGTCGTGTGTGAAAGGTGGAGGGGCGGGGGCTGTTGCTGATGGTGGTCTCTGAGCTGCGACACGCTCGAGCACGCACGAGGCGGACAGTCGCGCCTCTGCATCATGATCCCAACATTCCTCCATTGTATCACAAAGTACAAATAGTCCCTGTAAGATAAGTTTATTTATGAACTAACTGTCACCCGCGACACCGTTCGCGCGGTATTAAAAAAACTTAGTAAGTAGTAATCTATGTGTTCTTCCAGACTATCTTCTACATCTATGCCAAATTTCATCAAGATCCATTGAACTGTTCTGGAGATACCTTCTAACAAACATCCAAACATTCGCTAAGATAATATGTACTTAAATTTTAAATTTTAAGATTCACATAGTTGACTACACAATTCAAGCTAATCTATTTGTAGGAGTAGAATAGAATATTAAGATAAAAAACTTGGCGGCACTTTCCTGATTATGTTTGCATAAAATATAGCGGAGAGTTACTGTTTTAATTTGCGGTAATACTAACAATTTTAATCTCAAAGAATTTCAACAATATAAGTATACTTACTGGATGTTCTCGCCATCGCGGTGGGATGTGTGGTCTCAATTTTCTTTGTACAACAGCTTCCTGCATCTCCTCCAATCCTGGATGGGAGCCAACTTCCTCTTCAAGGGGTAACCTGTACTGAGCGGTTGGTTCCACACCACCTTCGTCACATCTAATCAAAGAATAAATATTAATTACTACTCAGAATACTTTGATGTTTCCTTTAACCCTTAGTGTAGGTTTATAGAGTGCTAGCTGTCTTGCACGCGGCTTAGTCTCTTAGTTCTTACTATGTTCTAGATCCATGCCAAATTTTACCAAATTCCGTTCAACCATTCTGGAGATATATTAAAACAATTATCCATCCATTCATCCAAATATTCTCATTCATAATATTAGTAAGATGGCAAAAAGATTATAAACATAATTATGAAAGTATTTTACATATTTGTAATTCCGGGTCAACAAAATTAAAGTACTTTTATGTGTTGTTTTGGGTCAGTATTAATTACATAAATAATGAAATGTAATTTAATTCCTATGAATAACTAAATAAGCAGAATATCAAGACATTATATACTTATAATGCATTCTATATTGTATCAGGTAAGCATTTAAAAATGCTGCAATGAAAAGTTTTGAATTACAAAATGTAATTTTATTCAAATTATGTCTAAGTTAGAACATACTATTAAATTACTAGCTGTCGCCCGCGATTCCGTCCGCAGAGAATTAAAAAAAAACTTAATAAGTAGCCTATGTGTTCTTCCAGACTATGTTTTACATGTGTGCCAAAGTTCATCATAATCTGTTTAACCGTTCGGGAGATACCTTCAAACAAACATCCATCCATTTAAACTTTCTTATTTATAATATTAGTAAGATTTATATAATATTTAAAACATTTCTTACCTTGACGCAATCTCCCATAACACAAGCGCACACGCATACATATCTATTCTTAGGAACGCATCTTTAGTGAAGTTGATTGCTCCATCTAATACTTCAGGCGCCATATATCTTCGGGTTCCGACTTGACCGTGAGCGTCACCACAGCCTCTTCCAGCGACAAAGATCAATGCCAGACCAAAGTCAGCAATACAAGCACTCATATCAGATTTTAAGAGCACATTCTTTGATTTGAAGTCCCGATGAGCGACTGCTGGTTTACCACCTCCTTCTTCATGAAGATGTGCTAAGCCTCGAGCAACGCAGGCTGCTATACGCCAAGCTTCAGCCCAGGTTAGGGTATGTGCTTTCAAGTAGTCACATAGAGAACCCTGAAAAATCAAACAATTATATATATAAATTTATGTTATTTTACTAATATTACCAATAATATAAATGTGAATGTTTAGATGGATGTTTGTTACAAAGTATCTCTAAAATGGCTGCATGGATTTCACTGAAATTTGGTATAGATGTAGTTCATAGTCTGGAAGAACACATAGACTACTAATTAATTTTTTATAACACCCCGCGGGCGACAGCTAGTTATGTAAAAAATCATGATATTGTGCAAAATGTATTTAGGTTTAACTATAAAATAAAAAATAATCTCTACCTTCTCATGATATGCACTAATAAGCCAATATTCAGCCTGTAGATTATCACCCTTTTTGTCAACTCCAATATAGTGTAAAATATCAGGATGATCCATTCTTGGAAGGCGATATATCTCCTGTTCAGCCAACCATGACTGTTTGTCTTGTAATGGAAAAACTTTCACCGCAACATCTTTTGGTCCTAACTTTGCTCTCCAAACTGCACCAAATCGTCCTCGCGCTCGAACCTCGCATAACGTAACTTGACTTAGCAATCCACCAGTTTCGTGATCCATACCCGCACCTGCTGAAGGTGGTCTGGACAATGATGCTTCACCATTTGCCAATTCAGCAAAAGAGCTACCTTTGCGTTTTCTGTACAGTAAGTAACATCCAACTAAAACCCCAAACAGTATGAATAGAGGTGTCAATGTATACGCAATAACAGCTTTTGTATCATCATCAGGGGTTGGCAATGGTGATGCTGGTATTCTCTCCGGTGGTAACTCAGTCTGTGCTGACATTCCTGCTTCTAAGCCTGGGAATGTTGCGTTCTCGTTACACATGTCACCTTCGCAACAGCAATGTAATAGTGGCAGTTTAACATTGTGCAATCTGCAACTCGATGCTCTGTCGTTACATGCTACTGTATCAAGAAAACATCCTTTAACTTTTACTGTTGCTTTGTTTGTTTCATTGTTGAAATGCCATAGAGTAAAGCAATGGTTACTCTTGTCTGATTCTATCGCTTGACATTCATCCCTTTTCACTTCAGGAGGTGGACAGTTGGGATTTTTTGTTTCATCACATACTGAAGAATCATTAAAAAATTCACAGAACTTAGTTTCTACTCCACCTCCTTTTGGTCTGGGTGGTAGGTTTTCTTCCATAGGAGGTGCACCTAGCACTGATCCTTGTATACCTTAAATTGAAAGTATTTTCTATTATATTATAAAGTAATAACATCAATTGTAAAACTAATTAAAAATGAATGAATAAGAAACTTGTTTGAAGACCAGAATTATTTCAATCTAAATAATTTCTTAAAAACTCTCTATTTAGATAAATGTTTATTCTGAAATAGTTGAAAGTTGCTTGTTTAAATATATAAATCACTTAGCAAACAAAACAACATGAAGTCTGGAATGTTACGAGAATATAACGAAATTTATGAACTGAATGAGGTCTTCTGGTCATTATAAATGAATGCGTTGTAAGTCATTATCTAAATCTCAGAGAATACCAGTTTTTAAAATGAATAAATTGTAAATGTTACTTACCTAGTACAAGCAAAGTAAAATTAAGCACAGACTTAGCGACCATGGTGAAGAACTCGATTCACAAGATCAGACGCGGCCGCCAGATCCGTCGCGACACAACTATGTTATTTTTAAACACATCAAAGCTCTATTTAGGAAATCTCAAACATAGGTACATGTCAAGTAACACAAACAACGCACATCGCGATTCGTACTGAAAGAGTCAGAATCACATCAAACGAAACTTATTAATACTTCAACGACAACCAATTGAATTAACTGATCAGTTTAATTAGATTAATTGCTGTGATTTAATTTGTAATTTCCGTATTGTTATAATCAAACAAGCTATCATCCATCACAAGCTATACTTTTTGACGTAACTAGTGATGTGACATAGGTATAGATATGTGGTACCGATTTGTCAACTCGATTTTTACTAACTCGAGATAAATAAAGTTACGTTTTAATCGAGTAGACCTTTTTTTTCAACTTGTGTTTGGGTGGTGACATGTCATAATATATCGTTCATGACAAATTAAGAACTGTACTTTTTTGTATGAGCGTTATCATAATTTAAGTTTATTCGAAGTTGACTAAACTAATCTCTTTTTCCAATCCTTAGAATGGGTTATTGTGAGAAAGCCGTAAAATAAAGCCGACTTTTTGTAGCTTTTTTGAATTCTACAATTCCATCATACATAATTTTTAGTCCATGTAAGCCAAGAAAGAAGGTAAATTTTAAGAAGTTGGTTTTAACAATTCGCCACAATCTCATAACGTAACCACAAGAGTTACTGGTGATACACATATAAAAGAATTGTGTAATACACAATTTTATTCAAATTACTATCTCTTTAATTAGTTAATACCAAAGGAAGGTACTAGATGGCGTTAGCTGTTTTTTTTTAGTCGATTGGCATTAAGATTCTTTTATTAAAATTATCATCATGGCATTTTAGGAGCTGATTATGAACAGCAAAGCGCGAGACCACTACTTCGATAACTAAAATATAGAAATTATTTCGTAGTAGTCATTGTCTTGATTATAAAATGTATTAAAATTTACTTTGTATATTTTTATTGTTATCGTAATTATGTCGTTACAGACAATATAAACAATCTAGTCTAGTATTATAGATAAATAAAAACTGCTTTAAAACTTTATTTCATTGTTGAAACCAGCTTCTCTTGTATTGAAAATTTCAATTAGTTTATGGTAAAAACAAAATGTCGCCTATTTTCTTTTTTGTACCGTTTTATACTTACTAATAAAATAAAAGAAAAATTATCACAGTCTTTAACACACCAAAAAACGATAGACTGAATATAAATTATCGAAATTTAGTCATTTGTCGTTTATATTTGACTATAGAAAGACTTATTACTAATATTATAAATTAGCTGTCGCTCACGACTCCGTCCGCGTGGATATATAAAAAAATTAGTGTAGCCCACCCATCCATCCATCCACATCACACGCATCTAAACATTCGCATTTATATTATAATATTAGTAAGTTAAATAAAAAGCCGTTCTTCAAGGCATAAATTCGAAAAAAAATGAATAATTAGTATCCTATGTCTGTCTCCTGGCTCTAAGCTATCTCCTCATCAATTTTCAGCCATATCGGTAAAGCCGTTCTTGAGTTATAAATAGTGTAACTAACACGACTTACTTTTATATATATAGATGTAAATGTTTGGATAGATGGATGGATTGAAGGTATCTCCGGAACGGCTAAACGGATCTCGCAAAAATTTGGCATAGATGTAGAACATAGTCTGAAAGAAGGCATAGGGTAATTAAGTTATTTTTTAATTTTGCAGGGACGAAGTTGTGGGCGACAGCTATAGGTAATAACTCGAACAGTTGTAAACCACGATTTAAGACGTGGGAACTAGGTGCAGTTCAGTGCATATGGTGGCATCGGATTTATATATCGATTTCAGGTCAAGGATGACACGTGGACAAGCCGAATACATTCAAATATTTATAACTGCGCCAAGAATGTGCAAAACAAAATGTATTGTTATATGATATGATATAAAAAGTCTATTTTCTATTTCTATTCATCCCTTTTTACATCAAATCCTACTTTACTTATTCTTTCTGTGTAAGAATAGGTCAAACCTCATTGGCTGATGAAATTTGACCTTCGCTTTTTGGCCTGTTTAAAACTCAACGTAGCAAGTTTTCCCTAAACATTGTCGCAAATGATATCCACTCTTACGTCTTCCATTCGAAGCTTGATGAAATATTTATTACCTATATTATAAATAAAAAGTATTTAACAGCGACCAAATAAAAAATAATTATAGTCATGTCATCATTAAATAAAAAGAAAACATTAAATTTAGTCATAAAAAAATGTTTAACATAAAAATTCAATTTTGTCATGTTTTTTTTATATTTACTCGTTTTATTTTTATGTTTTAATTTAATTTTAATTTTTTTAAACATAGCCAAAAAGGTAAGTAGTTTTTATGCGAACTTTTGTTTATTCTCATTTATAGAAATCCTTGACTTAATAATATTATGAAATAAGACTCAAAATGGGCTTTCTTAAAATGACGTCCTACTAGATTTAAACAAGCAGATGCCCGCAATTTCGTCTGTGCGGATTTAAATAAAATCTAATGATAAATGTAGCTTAAATTTATATCTCACTCGGCGATAGTGTAGCTTCCCTACAGCGAAAGAATTTGTATATTATATAGGATAATTCTCTTTCCTTTGATTTATCTACTCTGTCCGTCCCACCTTCCCGTTTCCATTATTTCCTAGGACTTAAATTAGGCTTTACGTTTACAATCACAATAGACAGTTAAATAGAGTTGTCATAGGATTCCAAAAATTGAATAAACAACACATTATCACAACGAAATAAGTTTTAATACAATGCTGTATGTATTTTTGAAAAGATCAAATTTAATTTCATTTGGAAAACGTGTTTTTCGTATTGTAGACAAGACAGGATACAAAGTTTTATAAAGTTACAATAAAACATTTATAATTCCGAATTATCTTGCGATTAAATGATAAAGTCGGTAATAATGATAGTGTGTATGACACTCAACTTCCGCCATCGAAATGCCTCCTACATTCTTGATTACAGATAATTAAGCTCATCCTATTGAAAAATTATTTCTTTATTTAACTAAATCACTTAAAGAAAGAGTTAACAGAAAATTCTTTAAAGAAAAAAATAAATTCACTTTATTTTCAACTAATATTTTGTGACAAGAAAATTAAGGTAGAAGGATGCAAGCGTTTAAATTTCTTACCAAATTCTACGATCAATGCAAAATCACTGTACAGGGCTAATATTTGTTAATCTAGACTCTAGAGGTCTTAAGAGGAGAGCGAAAGCGTGCCCGTGGCCCCGTCCCGATGCGTTGGAGGAACAGAGAGGTTTAGTGGGTATGCCTCCTATATGGAGGAGAATCTCACAACTAAAGCGTCCCCCCCGGGGCGCGGAGTATGCATAAAGCATCTCTGAAAAAAAGGGGGTGTCACCTTTGAGATGCACGGTGCATTTAGACTGCTTGTCATTGATGTCTTCAAGTCAGAGTTGGTGGTGAGAAACAATTGATTGTCGTAGTTTATCTTCTCCGACTAGGGTTAATGCATTGACAAATGTCATTGGTCGTCGTTTGTTTTACCACTAATTCGGTATACATTTATTAAAAGTTTCGTCTCTAAATAAGTACTTGCAGATCTATGGATATCAAATCGATAGATAATGGATGACAATGCTAATTTTTGTGCTAAAATCAGCTGTAAGGGTAACATACTTAAGGTAAGATATTGTAGATCGTAAACGAATCCTAATTTAGGATGTTTTTAAAAGTCAGTTTAACATTTGTATTTGGCTGCTCTAAATTTATTGAGTCGGCAAATGATTAGTCACTCGAATAATCTATTCAGAAATACCATCCCCACAATTTTCAATTGAATATATCACTAATGATTATAATAATCAAATTAAAAATACATCATGATTGCGCGTAACCTTCACGAAATTAGAAGATTCATTTGAACAGTTTACGTTAAACGATCGATGAAGTTGCAATGTTTTGTTAACTTTTAAGTTATCTGTAACTATATTTATACTAATCCAATTACCCTTACTTACGATTTTCATTATTCATTTTACATTTAAACATAATTAACCCATTAAGGATACCGCAAACGACAGTAACAAAAATTGTTCGACGCAATACAAATTCGAGAGTCAATGGTAATGTTTTCCCATCTGCCATATCTCACGGGACTGTTGATAAGGTAGTTTTAACGTGCGCGCGAAACTCGACGGTCGTTGTTATGGGTTCCGACGACTTTCCTGTCGCGTTTGACGGGAGACGTTACGATTTGCGTCGGTTCCTGAAAGACCATCCTGGAGGTGTGAACACTTTAGAGAGATATAAGGGCAAATCAATTACACAGGCTATGAAGATATTTGGACATAGTAACAGTGCGTATCACATGCTTGGTGATTTTAAAGTAGGGGAAGAAAACGGTGTTCTAACGGGCGATATTAGTGGCAATGGAAGGATCATAACTAAGGAAGAAGAGAATCGAGATGAAAAGGAAATTGCACATTTGGAAGAATTAGAGGTAATTTTATAAAAATACGATGAAAGAAAACATCGTGATGCAACCTGCACATATCTGAGAAGAAATTCAAAGATATGTGTGAAGTCAACGAATCCGCCCTTGGCCAGCGTGGTTGACTATGGCCTAGTCACCCCTAACTTAGGGTAGGCTCCGAGCCCCTCGGAGGGGACGTATAGGGAGCTGATGATGATGATATAAAAAATACATAACAATTCCTTATAACTTAATGTTTGAAATAAGACACAGAACGTTTTCTTAGTGCGGTTTTATACTTAAGAAATATTTAAATTTACTAAAATATAGGTAAAGTTGTTGCTCAAATTATCTCTAATAAAGTGACATAACATGTTTTCTTATTAATGTTTTGAAACTCGCGATTGAATACCGTTTTTCACATGTAAAATTACAAAATATATATTGGAGACACCTTCAAACATCCTTCCATCTAAACATTCGCATTTATATTTAGTAAGATTATATCTAAAAGAAAGCTGATGTTTGGTATAATAATATTATTATAAATAGTTTTTATTTGAAAACTATATGTAAGTAATGTTAGGAAGAAAATTCGACAATGTGCCGGTGTACTGGCACAACACTAGCCTTACTAAAATGTCGACGTTTATGTCCCCTCACTAATCATTCTGACACATGACTTGGTAAAGAAAGCATGCCATTCGAGCCAAAGGATTCTAACTAATAATGTCTAAAAGTAAATAGTTTAGTTAAACTATTTACTTTATTAAATGAACATTCACGTAAGAACTGATAATGAAGTTTTAGTCATGTAGTCTACAAACACACCTGTGAACTCAAGTGGATAAAAATACAATTTTTTTATCTATACCTTGAAATCGATAACAATTCGTTACATATTCCGTCACATTGTTTGACTCATCCTATTTATTGTTAACTGCAATTTGAACTATATAATTTGTAGTAAATAATAGCAGATCTTAAGTTATTTAATAATATTTATTGTATTTATACAAATTTTACAAATGCGAATGTTTGGCTGAATGTTTGTTTTAAGGGATCTCCGGAACAGCTCTACAGATTTTCATGAAATTTTGCACAGATGTACATAGTCTGGAAGAGCACATTGGCTAATCATTTAGTTTTTTTATAACTCCGCGCGGTCGGAGTCGCGGGCTCAGCTAGTCATTTAAATAATATCGACACTTTTTACACACGTTTTAGGATATCGGTCGCGACAGTAGTCTGATGTAACAGATGTCCCATGCGATTAACGTCGGTAGACCGTACACCTAGCCATTGGGCTATTGACGCATTTAAAAAAAAACAATATGTCGCATTTAAAAAAAAATAGTTTAAATACGTATTAATTACCTGGGGAATGGATATACGAATGGATTTAATGGATATGGTAAACGCGTAGCTTACTTATTATTATCGATTGTAATAAATATTCCATTTCACACCATTTTTATTACTCTAACTAGATGGCGCCTGCGACTCCATCCGCGCGGAATTAAAAAAAAACTTAATATATTTTAAATCTATACCACATTTCATCAATATCCATTGAGCGGTTCCATGGATACTAAACATCCATTCATCTAAATTCGCATTTATAATATTAGTAAGATTTATGCATTATTTCCACTGACGACTCTCGACTCTCATAGGCTAGTGAAACAGGGGTTTAAATATGATTCCTGCAGTTCTAATATCTGGGCAATTGAATTCTTTTACAACGTGATACTATTAGGTTGTAAACAAGCAATGGTATGTGAGATATGTGTGTACATACAGAGAACTGTGAATTTTCGTTTACATCGACCTTGACAATGCCTAGCTGATAATAGTAACTGTTCGAGGCTCGCGTAATAGTGTTAAATAATACCAAATAATTAGTTACATTTTTAACTACCGCTTTACACTAACCAGGAAAACGTAATGAGTTTTCCTGCTTGTTTTTTACTTATTATTATTCGCGTATTCGTTACGATAACGCAGTTTTTCGAACTTTAGTAACCTTATGTGTCTTTCCAGGCTATGTTCTACACCTATGTCGAATTGCAGCGTGATCCATGCAGCCGTTCTCGAGATACTTTCAAACAAATATCCATCCAACCATTTGCATTTATAATATTAGTAAGATTAGTATGATATGTCAGGCTTCTCTTTGTATATTGAAGTAAAAGAAGTAAAAAGTAGAATATACAGCCATAAAACGTTGAAAGATTTAATTATTTCAAAGAATAGGATTTTTGGTACAGATGACTAAAGTGTTTGTGTAAATTGAATGCACTTTGTCTAACCACCATGTTCTCTACTTTCAGAGCAGACTTGACTGGTCTATGCCTATCTTCTGTCAATTAGGAGCTATCGCGTCAGACTACGACAAATGGGTACACAGCGCTGTCTTCAGGAATTGCAGGTTGTTCGCCAACCCTATTATGGAGAGTATGACGTACACGCAATGGTACTTAGTACCCACGTTCTGGGTGCCCATCATCATATATTTAATGGTGACAGTTTACTATCAATATGTTAATTGTGGAGGTAAGTTTGCTTTTACAATATTTAGGTTGTGTGTAGTTTTGAATTTTAAATGAAAGAAAGTTATAAAGAAATTGCACTTTGTATTTATCCGACGTTGTTACGTTGAAGGAAAACATCTTGATGCAACCTGCACATATCTGAGAAGATATTCAAAGATATGTGTGAAGTCAACCAACCCGCACTAGGCCAGCGTGGTTGACTATGGCCTAATCACCCTTAACTTAGGCTAGGCTCCGAGCCCCTCGGTGGGGACGTATAGTGAGCTGATGATGATGATGATGATTTCTCGTGACTGCGACTTATAATATTAGTAACATAATATTGATACGACAAAGTGTATTATAGTGTATTATTTATCCAGTTTTTATTATCCAGCGAAGGCCCGCGTCTTTGTCTGCGGAGAATAAAAAACTTAATTCAGCCTATGTGTTCTTTCAGACTATGATTTACATCTATGCCAAATTTCAACGGGATCCATACAGCTGTTCTGGAGATACCTTCAAACAAACATCCATCCATCTAAACGTTCGCATTTATAATATTAGTATAATAATTTGATTTTTATTTCACAAAGTGACCTTGATTTATAAATTGTCTTGAATTTCGAATAAACTAAAAAAAAATGTGTATAAAACGCAAACTGTTTACTAGAACTTTCTCGAAATCTCCGACAATTTGTTACAGATTCCTGTGGCCCTGATAGTCTTACGTCTCTCCAGTATATACAACAATTGATAAGTGGAGTTCTGCTGTGGACAATCCTTGAATACTCTCTGCACAGATGGGTCTTTCATTTCAATCCTGGTTCAAATCTTAACCTGATAAGGGTTCATTTCCTTATACACGGAATTCATCATAAGGTAAGTTTTGATACAATAGTGGAAAGGGCAAGAGAACTAGAATTTGGCACTCATCAAACTAATAGTCGTAGAGTCCGCTTTAACATCTTCGCACGAATTGGACCGGCTCGCCCGGTGCAATACCACGACCTCACAGAAGAAAGGCATGAAGTGGAAGAAATTCCGTGTTTCGTTTAATGAGTTTGGTAAAATATTCTCTTTCTGTGCACCCCTCCTCCGTCGATCATAGGTAGGCAACGCATCTGCATATATCTATGGGCAGCGGTTTCAGCGATTTCGGGTAGCCGTTCGCTCGTTTGCCACCGAATATTTTAAAAAACTATACAGGGAATTACTTTTACTTCATGCTTGTCTTCTGCGTGTTAGTTATATTTGCTGCTGCGGACTCTACCAATGTTAAAAAAGTCATAGAGACACGGACTATGAGGAAATCTCATTTGAAACTAATTTCCACATGTGTTTATTTTTTAATTCGATTCCCAATTTATATTTTAAATTATAATTATAATTAGAGGAAAATATTCCTGTTTATCCTTAATTTCAACGAAAAATATATTCTATATTTTTTAATTTAATATACTTAAATGTGGTACATTTTTCGTACAAATTGATAAACAGTATCTAATGTTTTCCTCTTATAATAACTATGATTAAAAATAAAAAGTTTGTACAACAATTTTGTTTGTACAAGAAAAGGAAAACATAGTATACTTAGGCTTTTTCGGCCGAATTACATTTATTTTATCTATAATTATTTGAATGTAATTAAAAACAAAACTGATATGACATATTCAAAAAATCTATATAAAGATAACTTTATATAGATTATATAAGGTAGACTTAGTCAATGAAAGAAATTATTATAGATAAAAATATTGTACAGTCATGCTTTGATCTACGAATGTTACGTCTCATTTAATTTAAAACAATTTGTTTTAAAAACATGTACAATGCCTTGTCAATAGTTGATCACGTGCGTGTTTCAAACCATTAATTTTATTGTTTTGATATATTACAATGACACGAACAAAATGTGAATAAGATAAATGCCATACAGTTGTATCATTGCCGTCAATGATTTCACAAGGCGGACACTGCTATGGCCTAGCAGAATTATTTGTGACTAGTGCCAACGTATTGTCATGGACAAAATTTATATTGGACGAAAAGTACACCAAAAAATCTCATACTAATCTACATATATAAAAGAAAGTCGTGTTATTTACACTATTTACAACTCAAGAACGGCTTTACCAATATGGTTGAAAATTGAGAAGGTAGCTTAGAGCCAGGAGACGCACATAGGATACTATTTATTATTATTTTTTTCGAATTTATGTCTTGAAGAGCTGCTTTTTATTTAACTTATCTATATATTAAGTTTTTTTATATATCCACGCGGACGGAGTTGCGGGCGACAGCTAGTTTTAACATAAATGACGGTAACTTAGCTTCTTGTCGCAATTATTCAGTCTAGGCTCACAGTAAGCAACACGCAAAATGCTGTCATACATCGCAAAGCAGGATTCAAATACTGACTACTTAGTAATAATTATTTAAAGTTTGATATAGTAACAATACTGAATCGTATTGTGCCTCATGTCTTTTGTATAGACTGTTTCGTGTGTTATGTTTTGTAAAGTTAAAGCAAAGATCGCGATTGCGATGCCGCAGCTCTCGTGTGGCATCTTCTTACTGTTCTACATGCTTATTATTTCCTTAATAAAGGTATTGTAATTTTCTATTATTATTTTTCAGGTTCCATTCGATGGTCTTAGACAGGTGTTTCCACCTATTCCTGCTGCATTACTCGCCGCTTTGTTGTACTTTATGCTATATCCGTTGGTGTCGTACCCTATTATAAAATTGATCGGTGGTTTAATAGGTAAATATATAAAATATGTGTCATATTATATGTTTTTGTAAAATTTTACAAAAGTTATACCAATATAGACGTATCTTTTGATCCCGATGTGATCCTATTGGGTTTTTTTAGATCGGTTCTGATTCAATCTTACTAATATAAATGCGAATGTTTAGATGGATGGATGTTTGTTTGAAGGTAGCTCCGGAATGGCTCAATGGATTACGCTACTATTTGGCATAGTTGAAGAACATAGTCTGAAAGAACATAGGCTACTTATTAAGTTTTTTTTTAATTCCGGGAGGACGGAGATGGGGGTGCCAGCTAGTTATATTAATATAGTTTGAAATGGAATATTGATACACGTTTAGTAGTTGTTTATGTCGCAATGGGCTACATCACGTCCCTAACCTCGAATAATTTGGGTATATTGGCCAGTCGCTTTTTAGATGCCTTCATTTAAAAAAATGACCAGTGACAACCTTTGTGATAGAAACTTTTTTTATAACCTATATTCGCGTGGTATAATTGGCCAGTGTTTAATTATCTTTTTTTTTGTTTATAATAAAGGGCTTTGACCGTAAAATAAAGTACTAAATGATTCATTGATACGTAATCGATTACTAACATCTTATCACCGAAAGCAATAGATTTGTGTAAGCCACGTGCATGTCAAAACTTTGATAAAAAATGTTTTCGTCATTTCGTTGAAATGATTGTAAAATATATGTTACTACTTACTTTGTTACTAGTGATGTTACTTACTTGAAGCAAGTACTCGGACCTTTTTTTTTTAAATTCTGGTATATTTTGAAAAAGTTGTTCATCCTAATCTAATTATATTAATAAAATTGAACTGTCTATATGTAATATTGAGAAAAAAACATATTTACTATATGTTCACTGTTTATTTTTCTGTCCGGAAAGCCACGTTTGCTCCGGGTATCTCGGGAACGGCGCAGGCATATTGTAGGTTACTTTCTTGAGTTCTGAGTTGGCGAAGTCGCGGGCAATCGCTAGTAGTGAAATATGCCCTTAAATGCATCACTGTTAAACTTTATTGCCGTTTTTAGGTGCAAATTACAATAGAAGGCAGATAATATATTTTTAAAAGACTTTCAAAAAGAAATAGGTACTCAATTCTTTTGTTTTTTTTTGTAGGTTACCTTATCTATGACATGATTCATTACTACGTGCACCACGGCTCGCCGAAAGACGGGACGTATCTCTACGCTATGAAGCGATATCATTCCAACCATCATTTTGTTAATCATGATAAAGGCAAGTATCAATTTTTGTTCGTACATCTGTAACCAATTGTCAGAAACAATATGGCGGTGCAAATCCTATATGCTTTTTAAATAAAAATGTGCAAGAAACCTCCGCCATATTGTGACGTCATAGTCGAAAAACGTAGGTAGGGTCAGTGAAAAAAATTTTTATGCAAAAATTGTATTTACGCAAATCATTTTTAAAAATATTTCATATCTCCAATTATTTTTTGTTAATTTTTTTGTTATGTTTGTAAATTAATATGTTTGCTTTTTTTTTACAGCGTTCGGCATCAGTTCGAAAATCTGGGATCACGTTTTTAAGACATTTGTACAAGTTAAGAAATTAAGTTTTAGTTTACGTTGGTGAATTTATTAATTTTTTACACATTAGTTAAAAATAATTTATTGTGATTATGTTTTAAATTAAGAAAATATTATATTAATTTCTCGGTATAATCTATCACTACTAGTATAGTATTCTTTAAGGTACAATCTAGATATAATATTATTTTGTAGTTTTGTTATAAGTATTTTAATTTAATGGAAAATACATATTTTTTTTCCTCTATCTTTTCACCACATTTCCTTCTTTTAAATAACTTACTGATATCTTTGTTTTTTGGTCTTTTTTATGACAATAGTTGAAAATTATGCGTCATTATGTTTTTTTTATCATACAACAAAAGGCTATAACTCTTGCGTACTACACAACAATGTTATCTAACGCTCTACACATTATAACAAATGTAATTAATAGAGTTCTAAGAATTGCACAGAGTAACCTTATCTTTACGCTGTACCAAGTCAAGATGTAAAAAATGTACACCGACTAAATTAAATGTTTCTTTTATCAAAACCACCTACTTCCATAGAATTGTAATACTTTCGAAAATATATAAATGAGTCGCTACGCTTTCTTGCTTTCCAACTAAAGGTCGTTGCATATGTATCAACTCGGAAAGGGATTGTATTAACTCGAACCGTAAACGGTTTTATCGGTATTATTTGTATGCAACTTCCTACTGCAATGCACTCTAATCAAATCGTAACGTCAGATCTTCTCATACATCCCCTAACATGGACGCATGTATGATGCAAAGGGAAAGGAGAGGTGGTGACGATCTGCTCCTGTGTTGATATGTGTGCTGTGACCCTTATACATTAAAAAAAATAATGTATAGCCGATTCCTATTGTGATATTAGAACAATCTAGAAGTGTTGATTTCGATGTTTACTTTGCTTTAATGTAGAATTTGAATGATCATAGCTGTATACAAGAATATATTTTTTTTCTTCAGTAATTTGATTTCGGTGTAAAGATTTTTTTTTAGTAAACTATTGAGATGTGATTTTGTATTTTAATTAGTTGGTTTTAAGGCGTTTAAGTTGCCTATGTAAAATATCGCAAGAATCACACGATAACAAAATTGTATTTTGTAATAAAGGAGTAAAACATAACCCTATTGTTCAAATTGATTACGTCAAAAGGGACGTGACTTGATAAGTCATTGTGTTACACAGTTTTAAACTAATTTTTATTATGTGATCAAATTTTGCCAAGTTCGTACGTTATTTTTTATATCATATTTCGACTCAAACAAATTGGTAACTTTTTTTGAAGTCGGTTCAAAACGGTCTAATATTTTTTATACTGGCAAGTGAAGAAAATAAAAATGTGCTGTTAATTTAAAATTAAAATATGTTAGTGTAATAAAAATAAATAAATAAGGAATAAATTATTTGATTTTGAAACATGGGATCTATTTTTATATTTCGCGGGAGTAAAAACGTTTTATTGATATCTGTGATAATTTATTTTTTTGTGACAAGTGTAAGTGGCTGTTTTAACACTGGCTGGGAATTTTTATTTGAGGATTTAATAGCTGACGTTTGCCCAATGCTGGCAACCGCTACATCTTTAGTTAAGGATTTATTAACGCCAAATTCACTTGGTAAGTATTCCATTAACCGTTGATTTCTAAATTCAAAATCTTTGTATAAAACATATCGCCATCCTTTTCTTTATTTTTGAAATAACAGAGATAACAACACAATGAATAGATGGATGGATAAGGTATGGATGTTTGTTAGAAGGTATCCCCGGAACGGCTAATCTGATCTTGATAAATTTTGGCACAGATGTAGAACATAGTCTGGAAGATCACATTAGCTTCTTATTAAGTTTTAATCAGTCAGCTTGTGATTTTACAATTAGCACAATTGGTGATCAGATTTCATATCTATTATAGAGTACTTGAATGATGAGCGAGGGTTGATTACCAAAGAGATGGTAAAGGAAAGTCTGAAATGCGGTCGCGAGCTGTCACGCGCTGCGAGCAAACGCGGCACACAGCTGGCGAAGAACGGCGTCTGCTTGGACGCTTCTTCACCAGCACTCTTCCATTTCTTCTCCGCGAAGCTATCGCCGGAAGCGAGGAAGTCTGCTGAAGTATCACATGAGTTATTAACAGCTACCAAACTTCTGCAGATGAAAGTGTGCTCAAGGTAATAGGGTTACGTTTAGTATTTTCCTTCTTGAAAGTATCCATGTAATTTGGCAGATCGATTGTCTTTTTATTCTAAGTGTTGACACATAAGACGCCAATAGCCTAATGGTTACAGATACGAACATACCATCACGTGGTCGTGGATTCGAATTTCGCCATAGGACTATTGTACTCGTAGTTAACCAAGCATAGATCTAGCTAGCTATTCGTTTTGTTACTTAATGTTTTTATGAAAAAAAAAACAAAAACAACTTTTGTTAACCTTATGACTGCATAAATCAATAAAAATTTTAACTATTTCAGTTATGATATAACACCGAACACATTTATGACGTGCTTAGAAGATCAAGACATCAGAGTAACTGATTTATCCTATTGTAAGCCATACAAGACTTCATACATTAAATCAAAATATCGAAGCATAGATGGCACTTCTAACAACGTGAAGCATCCAGGTTGGGGACGAGCTGGCGCACCGTTCTCTAGGATTGCAGCTCCGAGATACAGCGATGGTACGTATCCTTATACTTACATTAATATGCAAAGCGTTGTCATAGCAACGCCAGTTAAGACGGCCATGTGCATCATTATCATCAGCTCTCTACGTCCCCACTGAGGGGTTCGGAGCCTATCCTAATTTAGGGTTTGACTAGACCATAGCCTAGTGCTGTTTAACTTCACACATATCTTCAAATTTCCTTGCAGATATTTGCAGATTGCATTAAGATGTTTTTCTTCACCGTAAGAACGTCGGATAAATGTAAATCGAAAATCGTATTGGTACTTAACGGGATTCGAATCCAGTACCTACAGATTGCAAGTCTGCAAGCTTAACCCTTGAGCCACAGATGCTCTATGAATACGCTTTGTGTCTGATTCACTATTATCTTTTATCTTCCAGGTATCTACGCTATGCCACTAGCAGTGAGTGGCCGGCCATTGCCGAACCCGCGAACGTTGTCGACTCAGCTGTTCGCCGACCGACCCATCGCGAGTCGTACCCTCTCCTATATGAACATGCAGTGGGGACAGTTCGTCACTCATGATTTACTATCACAGGCAATGGAAGTTAATGGTATAATTCTTTTAACCGCACTTTATTTCTTAACGATTCGAATTAAAGGTAGGCAACGCATATGCAATTGGTCTATGGGGAACGATCACTTCGCTATTGCAGCGATTTCAGGTGACCGCTCACTCGTTTGCCACCTAATGATATAAAAAAAAGTATAATCTTCTTGTTAACTTATAAAATGCATACATTTCGTAGAATATGTTTTATTCTAATATTGTTATATAATAACTAAATACTTTTTGTAACAGATGAAGGAGGTATTCAGTGTTGCTACGGCAAAGGGCGTGACGTTCTTCCCCAAGAGTGGCAGAACGACAAATGCATTCCTATCTGTATACCAGAAGACGACCCTTTCTACAAACAGCACGGTGTCCGTTGCATTAACTTTGTAAGGAGTGTTACAACGCCAAGAGACGACTGCAGCTTGGGTTATGCGGAACAGGTGAGACAAAGATATATAAGAGCTATTGAGAGGAAGAGAGAAGTTGTACTTTTGGAAATTTCGAATAAACAATACTAAGCTATTCCAAGCGGTATAGCCAATGAAGATTATGTCATTATTTTCTTACTGTTTCGTGCCTTTCTATCAATCGTAAACAGTGTTCTTTTTAAAGCCTTTCCAGTCTGGCTCGAAGGACCAAAGTACTAATTATGACTGTAAGAAGATGAATTATTTAGAACTAAACTGCTGACACTTACTTAGCCACTTTCTCGTATAAGTTTAATTTAATTCTAATACAATAAATATTGAGGCCACCAATATTGTTCTATTTAATTTACATATATCTTCTAATTTTCGATTCAGATGAACACAGTGACGAGTTTCCTCGACGGATCTCCACTGTACGGTTCTGATCCAGCACTCGCTTCTAAGCTGAGAGAGAGAAGTGGCGGTAGATTGAAGGAGAAGACTAAACCTGGCTCCAAGCGTGGTTTCCTACCAATGGCTGATACGAAGACTTGTGATTTACGGAACGCGTCTGATCCTTGTTATCTTGCTGGTAAGGTTAACTATGATAATAATCATCATCATCACTCTGTCCCAATCTTTATCAAGAGTCGGCACAGTATTTGTTACTCTTCCGTGTATCCATATTTATACTTAAGGCCTTCATCCAAAACTACAGTTAATAAATTGCAACGACATTTTGATGCAGTTCAAAAGAAACACAAGAATATACCAAAGTCAGCCGAATAGGAATTCATTGCCAGATATTAAAAATAATACTTTATACTTTTCACAACATTATGCTTTGCTTTACTTTTCTGTGTTAATAAAGAATTAACGTATTTTATAAGAATTAATATCCTATCCTAGGAGATCGCAGAGTTAACCAGACTCCAACGTTAGCAGTTATCCACACGCTACTTCTAAGAGAACACAACAGAGTGGCTGATATCCTGAGCTCTCTCAACCCGCTGTGGACAGATGAGAAGATATACCAAGAGGCGAGGAAGATAGTCATAGCGGAGATACAACACATCACATACCAGGAATGGTTGCCATTGAATTTTGGTAATTTTTTTTTAATTAGTAGCTTCATTATCCTGGCTTTAGAGCCAATTGCTTTTATGTTAATAGTAGGCTGGATTCGAACCCACGACAACATAATTGGATTGTATGTAACCATATTGTTAAGGCTATTGTAACTATTAGGGATATAACTATACTTATAAAGAGAATTTGCTTGGTTTTTTGTATCGAATAGGCTCCGAAATTACTGAACCGATTTGAAATATTCTTTAACTATTGGAAAGCTACACTATTCCTAGGTGACATGAAGTCGTAAATATAAAAATACTATTCTCCCAGGTGAGAGTTACTTACGGTATTATCGTATTGTGCCGAGCGCACTGCATAGCCGCGACTACAACCCAGATGTGAACCCCGGTGTGGTTGGGTCCTTTGCTGCGGCTTTCCGCTCCTTGCATTCAGTGGTACCGGACTCCTTCCTCACCTGTCCCGCTACATACCACTGCGCTTATATGTACAAGTAAGTAAATATTGACTTTAGGCACTTAAAGACAGGATGACAAACCGAGACACAAAATTTAACAGGATCTCTAACCGTTGGTTCTGAGACCAAAATCTTTGTACAAAACTAATCGTTGTCCCTGTCCATGATAATACAGAGACAACAATATGTTTTAAAAGGGGAATTTTAGTCTCGGAAACCCACAGTCAGTGGCTCTATCTAATAGAATAGATCTGTATGGCGTTTCACTTTTTTCACTTCGATCGGCTGAACAGATCTGGCAGAAATTTATAGCAGTTTGTAATAGTGCAAAAACAACGTTGTTTTTTTTTATTTCTCACTAAAGAAATTCGAAGGCGACAGCTAGTAAGACTCCAAAATTTTAGGGTAAGTAAAATTAATAATTTAGCAACACATCTTCCAGACTAAGCGACCACTACTTCAACCCAGCACTAGTGGAATCTTCCTGCGAATCATTAGATGACATAGTACGTGGAATTCTCATGCAGAGCTCAGCGGAATCAGATCCATACTGCACTCGGGAGATCACCAATCTGCTGTTCAAGTTGAACAACCAGTGGGGGATGGACCTCGTCGCTATGGACATACAGAGAGGGAGGGATCATGGTTTAGCATCTTACAATGATTATAGGTTCGTATTGGATTTATCATTTAAGTCGTTTTTGGATCTTTATATCTAAACTTTGTCCTGTAAATGCTGTGTGCGCCTTTATGGTCCACTGTTTTCAATTGACTGTGTGTTATTTATTGACCTACACGTGCTTAATCTTACTTATGTTTTAAATGTGAATGTTTGGATGTTTGTTTGAAGATATCTCCAGAACGGCTGAACGGATCTCGATGAAATTTGCCATACATATTGGAAATAGTTTGAAAGAGCATAGGCATTTTTAATTCCACACACGGAGTCGCGGGCGGCCGCTTGTAAATAAATAAATAACTACGTTTGTGAGGTATTAAGAAACGGTAGTATTAGGGCTATATAAAATCGAGCATGAAATTTTAGATTTATGAATGTGGTAGAGTCTAGAGAGATGTGTGACCTCGCCAAAAAGAATTCTGTAATATATGTCTATCTCTTTGGTTTACAGGCGTGAGTTATGTTGTTCGTACCGCGATATTTTTGTCACTTAGACGTTTCTCTTTGACCAGAGTTTCTCGCTTATAGATGTCGTCCGTCGGAACCGGGCAATGGCTCTTACTTTTAGAGGTTTATCGCTTATCAAGTGGAAGAATATCTTCTGTTTTATATGAGTTTTATAAAATTTGAATTGTTTAAATATTTTCCAGAGAGACATGCGGATTGAAAAGAGCAAAAAGTTTTCAAGATCTAACAGGAGAAATACCTCAAGATGTAAGTTATCTTTACAAAATTTAGATAAACCAATGTTATATTTATCAAATGTAGTGAATCTTATATAAAATAGTTTTAAATTGACATATAGAAAGTCATTTTTTTAATGTTCCATGTACGGACATTAAAAAAATGACTTTCTCTATAGATTTTTTCATTATATCTACATTAAGGACAATTATTTACATTTATTTTTCAGCGTATAAACGCACTCTCCCAGATCTACGAGTCCGTAGATGATATTGACCTTTTTGTTGGTGGCATCATGGAGAAGAGTGTCAAAGGATCGATTCTTGGCCCAACCTTCCAATGCATTGTTGCCGAACAATTCTATCGGACGAGAATTGGAGATAGATTCTTTTATGATAATGGGGAAATGCCCCATTCGTTTACGCCTGGTAAGTTTTTATAAGAATAAAATGCTTTGACAATCAAATCTCAAAAGTATACTTCCCAATGGAAGTATACTTTTGAGATTTGATTGTCTGTATCTTAATTTTTTTTAATTAATTTCAAGCCAGATACTAAAATTTATAATTAAGGTTTCTTTGCTGGAAATACAAATTTTTAGTATAATTTTAAATTGTATAAAATTACTAATTAGGCATTTTTTGTTATTTAAAAATATCTGTCCACAGAGCAACTAAAAGAAATAAAGAAAGCGTCTATGGCCCGGCTAATCTGTGACAATACAGATGGCGTTAGTTACGTGCAGAGGAAAGCATTCGAAATGGAATCTGCTCATAATCCGAAGTACAGCTGCACAGATTATGACGCTATACCATTTGTAGATCTGACAGCATGGAAAAGACCGATACTTGAGTTGTATGATTAATATTAATTCTGCCACTCTTGTCAAACGAACGTTTAACAATCCGTTCATTTTTATCACAAACAAAATTGAGCTTTATCACTTTGAAAGAAGGTTTCATTTTACTTTTTTATTGCTGTTGCTGTTTATAAAAAGATGTGTAAAGTAAAATTAAACCTTAATTTAGTAGGATAAGGATCAATTTTATTTGTAATAAAAATTTGTTCCTGGCTGTACGGATCGTAAGAAGTAAAGTTTCTCTATGGTCTCTATAGAGTAATGTTTGAACTGGAATTTGAGATGTTGCACAGACTGAACTGAATCATAATTTAAACTTTATCGAACATCAAAATATTGTCTGAATTAAAAAAAAACACATAATTTTAAGTCTTAGAAATATTAAAAATAAATATTATTTATTGTTAAAGTTGTTTCTTTTATCTAATTAAAAACTCATTTTGAGGTTATAAATAAAACAAACAGATACTAACAATAAAATTTTATTATTATAAAAAAAAACAAAATATATTGCAAAATAATTTTTATGATTGTCTCTGATCCAATCACAAATAGCATATTTACATAATAAAAGAAATTTTACTTACCTGTATCGATAAATGTACGTGATATAACGCATTTTATATTATCTTATCTATTAATTAATTTACGAAAACAAATTATGCAAAACATATCACCAACCTTACGATTTTGTAATCTGTGGTTGGTGTATACGAAATTTGGCATACATACGGATCATAATCTCAAGGAACACGTAGGCTACTAATTAAGTTTTTAATTCCGCGCGGACAAAGTCGCGGGCGACAGCTGGTATTTTAAATGCGAGATTTTTTTATTATGATCAATAAAATCTCAATAGATGGGCAAATGTCAGAAATGACAGGCTTAGGAAATGCCTTTTTAGCCGACTCATTAAGATTTACAGGAAGATATATCAGAATGCTTTAAACTTACTAATTTTATATTTTGGAATATTATTAACGTTTCCATTAGCGAAACAGTAATATAAACATATAATATTGTCATCCTTGTCGCTCACGATAATATAGTACCCACTCGCCTGACAAATTCAAAGGAACAAACAAATTGTAGTTTCATGGAATGGAAACCAATAACAGTAATTTTCTATTTTGTTAAGTCAGTGGAAACGCACATTAAGATTATTGTGGTATGTCTGCTTTATTATTCTACTTAGATTCTGTATTGCAAACTTTTTTATATAGGTAGATGAACTATGACGTCACCGGATTCATTTGTCATGTCATAATTTGACACTAAAAAACTTAATTAACATTTAAAATTAAAGGCTTAATTAAAAATGCCTCAATAAAAGCATACTATAAGAAATCTAAAATATATCAAGGTCAAATTTATCACAAACATGTCTAATTATATAAAACCCTTAAACTATTAAAAACACATTCAAATAGTCAAATTTAATTATAATATTTCTGGAAGAACCATATTCATTTTGACTAAAAGCTCATGAAAACACAATTAGTAAATTACTAACTTTTATCCTTTATCTGGTAACTATGACCAAAAAATTTACCATAGAGAATCATAGATAATATAGGTTTTTAAACAGTTAGGCAGAGGACACCATCATCATCAGCACACTATATCCAACTGAGGAGCTCGGAGCCTGCTCTAAGTTAGGGGTGACTAGGCCATAGTCAACCACGTTGGCCAAGTGCGGATTGACTTCACACATCTTTGAATTTCTCCTCAGATATGTGCAGGTTACATCACGATGTTTTCCTTCACCGTAAGAACGTTAGTACTCTAATATTATCAATTAATACTTAGGTTTAATATTATAACATTTATTACTAGTTTTTTTTACGGATTTTGGTTTCAGAAACTCATTTACTGTGAGTTTCTGAAACTAACATCCGTATAAAATTCTTATCTCCTTTTTGTCAAAGATAATGATGACGATACATTTTGTGGAGATTTGAATTCAGAAATCAACGGTAAATAATAAAAATAAATCAAACAGCACCAAAGTTCCAAAACAGCAACAATTAAGAAAATAATATGAAATGTATTGTCTACATTCAAATCTATGTACAGTCGAACCTTGATAATCTAGAGTCCAAAGGACTGTGATATTTTTCTTACTTATAATATAACCAGGATCGGACAAAGAATCTCACTTATAGAGGTTTCTTACTTATCACATTCTCTTTATTCAAGGTTCAACTGTATATCACTAATAGTAATCTATTTAAATCATTTAAATAGTAAATTATTCAAACTTTCGTGAGACACTATACTAAACGGATATATAAACACGGCTAAACACTCACGTATATTCGACCGGTGGCGGCACCGACTAGTTTCGAGCCCATCGGGGGCCCTTCATCAGGATGAGTGGCTCGCGACACAAGTGAGCGACGGGCCACGTCCGCGAAATAATACCAGTACCACTCATACGTGAGTGTTTAGTCGTGTTTATATATCATTTAAATAGTATTGTGAAATAAATTTAGATATTTACTGTATATTGTGGTGTCATATCAACAGATTCTTTGTTCCCGGTTTATCCTTCGTCCAGAGGGAGCTTATTCTATTCTGGAAGGCGTTCCAGGAGACGGAGCTGTGGATCAAATGGTTCAGTCCACCCGATCTTGGACCAACCAGTCTCTCTACCAATGGTCTTTTGTAGAGACGGTTAGCTTCTGTTATTTCATCTTGAGTCACTTTCCTATCGTCCAGATGGGTTAACGATGGAAACTTTGAGATTAGGAATAATCTAAAAAAAAAAAAAAATTTTCATACATAATTTTGTATTAGTAAAATGTTAAATATTTAATGGGTTAAATATTATTATAAATGCAAATGTTTGGATGGATGGATGTTTGTTTGAAGGTATCTCCGGAACAGCTGAATGGATCTTGATGAAATTTGACATACATATAGAACATAATATGAAAGAACACGTAGGATACTAAGTATGTATTAAGTATTTTATTTAGTTCCGCACGGACGGAGTCGTGGGTGACCGCTACTTTATTTAAATGAAATATTAAAACAAAATTTTATTGGTCATTTGACACTCATTATTATGCCTTAAAAGTTATTTTAAAAGTACAAAACTATAAATTAAAAAAAAACATTTTTTTATGTCATAGGGAATAATATACTTATTTAAAAAAGGACATGCCTATACTGTAGATATTCATAGAATGTGCCACCGTTGAAGTAACTCGGTGCAGCTGGGTTGCCCATCAAACTCAGATATTCCAAATTGGGGCAGGATTCCTTTAATTTGCCTGCCCATGGGTACAGGGATGAAATTCTACAGTGATTAAACCTGAAATTTTATGGTAAAAATGCCTCATAAAATCCTTTTTATTTATTTAGAACCAATTATTATATTTATCAAAATAATTGAATTTAATGAAACACTAATTCTCTCTCATATTAATAGACTAATTATACATAAGTGCAGACTTTTTTAATCTATGCACAGAAAAAAATTGTGTATATGCGTGCAAGAGTTACCTTGCAATGTCAAAATAAGTCTAGCCATTCTAAAGATTACCCGGAAAGTACATGGCCATTCAGACTTAAAAACAAACATATAATTTTTTTGTTAAATAAATGTGTCTTGTATACATATATTTTTCAATATCACATACAGACACACCAATTTAATTAATATATATATTATAGTTAGATATAAATATATTTAATATGTTTTATTTACCATAGTAGCTGCAGTTTAGGTAGTGGAGGTAAGATGCAGTTCTCTGTGATTGGATTTGTATCCACTATCAGAGATGTTAAATGCTTGAAGTGTACTACAGCATCTAAATTACTGAAATAAGTATTTATCTATAGTAGCATAGTCTTAAATTAAATGAAATTAATCACCGACACTTTACAATAACATCATTAAAGTTATTATAACATGTTATAATTTATACTTTGTATTTTTGTTGCTTTATAATACATATAAGAGCATCGGTGGCTCAGGGGTCAAGCACTTGACTTGCAATCTGCAGGTTCTGGGTCCGAATTACTTATGTACATTTAACCTACGTTCTTATGGTGAAGGAAAACATTGTGACGCAACTTGCACATATCTGAGAAGAAATTCAAAGATATGTGTGAAGTCAACCAACTCGCACTTGGCGTAGTTGACTATGGCCTAATCATCTAACTTAGGGTAGGCTCCGAGACCCATGCTGGGGACGTATAGTGAGCTGATGATGATTATAATTTATAAATTATAAGTTATGTTATAATTTCAGTTTAATATTTTGATATTGAAAGAAACAATTTACTTGTTTTTTTTACTTACGTAATTTTGTTATGACTGATATCCAGATATTTAATATGATCAGAGAATCTTTCAACAATTGTTCTTGGAACTTCATAGAGGTTCTCATAGGCTAAAGTTAGTCTGGTATCATCATCAACACAACCATCTGGTGAACTAAAAAGTAAATCAAAATAATTCAAAACATCCTACGATTTATCTTCCATATACCTTAATTTTTTTTTGTTCATGATTACGTGTCTTACTTCTTGTTTATTTAAAAGTGCGTAATTAAAAAACTCGAATTGTAAAACAAGTTTTTTTTTTAATGGAAAGTAAAGTAAATCTGTTTTAATAGAACAAGATTGCTTATAAATTTAATTTTTTTTTTTTTTTTTTTTATATCATAAGGTGGCAAACGAGCGAGCGGCCACCTGAAATCGCTGAAATAGCGAAGTGACCGTTGCCCATAGACATACGCAATTGCATATGCGTTGCCTACCTTTAATCGACGGAGAAGAGGATGCACAGAAAGAAAATATTTTCCCTTTCCATGCATCCTCTCATCCGGAAAGTCCTCTTCCACTTCCCATCCTTTCCTTATAAGAAATATGACGGGACGGGAAAGAGGACTTATTTTGGCCTCCGGGACGCACACTCATCAGACGAAACGCGGAATTTCTTCCACTTCACGCCTGTCTTCTGTGTGGTCGTGGTATTTCACCGGGCGAGCCGGGCCGATTCGTGCGAAGATGTTAAAGCGGGCTCTACCACTGTTAATTTAGATATTAATTTTGTCTTCATTTTAAACGAAATTATGTTCTTAATGCTTAAAGAAAATACAAAACACGATAACATACGCGATAAGATGTGGAGGTAAGGATGCTTGCGCCATGGTTGTTACGGAATCTACAATAACATCTTCAAACCAATTTACTTCTTCGACTCCTTCGTCGTAACTTGTGGCATTTGCAAAACTACGGAGATAATATCCAACATAAGTAATTTGACTCTAACGGTTAATTTCTATTATAACATGTTTAAGCATACTTTTCAGATCAAATTAATTGGAAGCTGGTATAAAGTTAATAACAAGATTAAAGATAACAATTATCAAACATGTTAAAAAAATATTCACAAATTCAACATCAGTTCTAAAATCGGTGACATTGACATAAACATTACCAAATTGCGATGTTGCCTTCTAAAATTGTATTGATTTTTTTATCAATTGTCATACACAATTCTGTCTTGGTGGCACCCCGAAAACCTTTATTACTTTATAAATTACGTTTTAGCATAGCGTTTTAATAGATTACTATCCCAATGGTGAGAGGCTGCTGTTAAGTTTACGATATCCCAAGAAGAATAGATTTTTCTTATATAAGTAACAACCCAAAAAAATTTAATCTACTATTAAATGTACTACTTTACTTGCTTTTTGTATAAAAGTATTATAGGTTACTTACTGATTCATTGAATTATTTTCCATGATTGTTAATAGCTTATTGACAAATAAGAGATAATTAATCACACAAGAACATTTTAATCTAAAAATAATGACACTGTTGTAAATAAAGTGCAAGGACCTTAGAACCACATTATTTCGATGCGACACACGTAATTACTATAGTTATCGACTAATAATTATTCCCTGTGATAAGAAATTGGTTTTTGTTTTGTTTACATTTTCTTATCAAACGAGGTCAATGATCATTCAGTGTTGTCATTAGAAATATGAATTGTAAACAATATATAGTCACATTTTTTCCATTTGTCAAATTTGACAACTATTTGTTGACATCAGTTGACACGTCATATGGCGAGTTGCAAATCGGGATTGTAAAAGTACGAATGTATTATACGATTATATTGTAATATCAATGGTATCCTTTTAACAAAATTGGCGTGGACAAATTCGAAACGTAAATAATGGATGTAAGTAGTTAAAGAAAATGTTAAACTTTACTATGTTAAATGAAATATCTGTCAATCAGATGTTTGTAACGAAACATACTTTAAAAATTTAATTCTGTTTCAGGAAAGTAATATTCCTATTGATATTAACATAGGAAAGCTTCAGGACTGGCTAGTTAGTCGTCGACATGTGAATAAAGAATGGCAAAAGAACATAATAGCTGTACGAGAAAAAATTAACAATGCAATACAAGACATGCCTGTACATGACGATATAGCAACTTTATTATCTGGAAGCTATATTAATTATTTCCATTGCTTGAAAATCATAGAGATTTTAAAGCAAACTGAAGCGGATACGAAAAATATCTTTGGAAGATATGGTTCTCAAAGGATGAAAGACTGGCTGGATGTTGTTAAAAGTTATGAAAAAGAAAATTTATATCTGGCTGAGGCTGCACAGATGCTTGTTCGGAATATTAATTATGAAATACCTAGTTTAAAGAAACAAATTGCAAAGGAAGAGCAAATACAATTGGTATGTTAATTCAGTTTTGTGAATGTGTGTTTTTTTTTATATCATAAGGTTGCAAACGAGCGAGCGGCCACCTGAAATCGCTGAAATAGCGGAATGACCGTTGCCCATAGACATATGCAACTGCATATGTGTTGCCTACCTTTAATCGACGGAGGAGAGGATGCACAGAAAAAAAATATTTTCCCTTTCCATGCATCCTCTCATCCGGAAAGTCCACTTCCACCTCCCATCCTATCCTTATAAGGAAAAGGGTGGGAAGGGAAAGAGGACTAAATTAGGCCTCCGGGACGCACACTCATCAGACGAAACGCGGAATTGCTTCCACTTGACACCTGTCTTCTATGGGGTCGTGGTATTTCACCGGGCGAGCCGGGCCGATTCGTGCGAAGATGTTAAAGCAGGCTCTACCACTGTTCAATTACTTTAAAAAAATCATCAAGTATCAAAACTGTTTAATTAAAATTAAACTTTTATTTATCACATAATTTACAGGATTGTGAGAAAAAACACTTGGAATATTTAAAAAATGAAGCTTCAAGCAAATCAGAATTTCTTACGTTATGCAAACAGTTGGGAATTGAGGGGAATAAAATTAAGAAGGAATTAGTTGAAAGGTTGCAAGAGCTTCCAGAATTGTATGACAAGGTAAGATACAACATTTAAATAATTATTCATAATAATAATTAGGAGGATATTGTTTCACACTGAGTTTTCACTACCAAACACACATGCAAAAACACTTTTTTTTTATTTTTTTATAAGATGATCTCAGTGTTTATAAAGACAGCAATGTTTTTGCAAGTATTTTTGGCAGTGTAACCTCACTCTTATAAACTCCGAACATAGTTTTTGGATTTCTGTTTGTTCTAATTTGTATTTTCTTCTCATTGTAGATTGGTAAATCATTGAAACCGATATTACCAGCTATAGAATTATATTCAGCTTTTACTAAATATGTTCTTGGTGATGAAGCACCGCAAGTGTTGCCGTTATTGAAATTTATGGTGGAACATGGCAATACAACTGTTTATGAATGGACTTACGGTGAAGCACCACTCAGTGTTGAGCTGGATCCTATTCATATTGAAGTGGATGATGATAAGGCGGCTGGTGATCAGGTATTTTTACTTTATGTTTAATAGTTGTTGCCCGCGACTTGTTCTGCATGGAATTAACCTTATTTAGTAGCATATGTGTTGATCCAAGATTTGTTCTATGTATATGCCAAATTTAAGCAAGATCCATGCAGTCTTTCTGAAGATACTTTAAAAAAAAATATCTATTGTCCATCCATCCATACATCCAAACATTTGCATTAATAATATTACAAAGATTTACTAGAAATAAATAAATAATAAATTTCATAAATAAACTCACACTTGCAAATAAATTTGTTTGGAACTCAGTTGTTTATAAATAAACAAGAAGTATGCTTATGTAATAATTAAATCACTCTGAGTGTAGTATTAACATACTTTAGGAAAGGCCAATAATCAACAAAAAATTAATAGTCTAGGAGTCTGCTTATTGATAGAAAAAAATTATCTTTTTTAAAATGAACAATTTATAGAATTAAATAAAATTTTTGTTTTAGATAGATTTTGGTGATGATGCCATAGACTTTGGAGCAATAGACACGTCGGCTATTGACTTTGGAGAAGGTGATACTGGCGGAGAGATTGACTGGGGGAATATTGATGCTGCGCCTACAGATGTTGTAAGTATCTTTGTTTTTAGAAAGAAACATAAATTATATAGAAATAGACAACATAATATAAATTTCCGTAGGTAAATAGTATTTGATAAGAAGCAGTTCAAAAGCTTAAAAAAATATATTATGAAATTTCTGTCGTCTATCACTAAATCCACACGTAAAAAACAATTTGTAGCCTATGTGTTCTTTCAGACTATGTTCTACACCTATGCCAATTTTCAGCGAGATCCATACAGCCGTTCTGGAGATACCTACAAACAGATATCCATCCATCCATCTAAACTTTCGCATATAGCAGTATTTTGAAATAAAATACATATATATAATAGTATATTGTCATTACCCATAAAATATTTTTAAATGTTTTTGATATAAAAAGTTTTGCCTTAGTCAGGTTGTAACAATATTTGTGTCAGGATCTCTCAGCAGATGTAGCCAACATATCTCTGGAGGAGTCCGGCATTGTGGTAGAGGAGGCTGGGCTGCAGGGCGGGGTGGCCAAGGGCAGGGAGGCTCTCACGTTATTGGACAATCCTACCACGAGTAATCAACTTGTTGAACAACTGCTTGAGGTATATATTTATATAATACTAGCTGTAGTCCGCGACTCCGTCCGCGCGATATTTAAAAAAACATAATAAGTATCCTATGTGTTCTTCCAGACTATGTTCTATATGTATACCAAAGTTTATTGTCGTTAGCCGTTGACATGTGTGTTCACTGTAATCGAAAATAATTGTTTTTCTGCTTAACCTTTAAAATAAGTTTTTTTTTTTTTTGAAAAAAAAACCTCGAATATTTTTTTCTTTGTTGATTATATCGAACTGTGTGTGGTTCTTTTCTAGTTGGAGTCGTTCCTGAAGATGCGCGTGTACGAGACGAGCACTGTGGAGCAGACGTTCTCTCTGCTGCAGCAGCTGCCGGCGGAGAGCGAGGCCGCGCTGGGGGGCATGCTGGGTGCCGTGCAGCGCGCCGCCGCTGACCTCACCGCACCTCATATACTGCATCTACATAATGTTAAACATTCACCCAGGTACAGGACACACACACTAACCCCCATCACCCCCACTCCCACACTACCACTCCCCGCACACGCGCGCGCGACTCACGCCTCACGTCTCTAACCCAGAGTGGTAGACAGAGACCACAGATCTCTATTTGGTGTGGCCGTGTGTAGACAGTGTAGTTATATTTATTAATTGTTTTTATTATGATTGAATACTGAAATATTAAAACGATAATCCGATGATTTAATCTACTTTATATCATTTTTTCTGTTGTATCTGTGTTGACGCTTTTGGAAGTTATGAAGTGTGCCAATTTTTTTTTAAAACACTATAATATTTTTTCTTATATTTATATTGTAATGGCTAGAAATTGACGGCAATTGTGGCATAACCTTTATACAGACTATAAAAGGCTTGGGCAGGTTATAAATTGTGGTATTTTGTGCCTATGTGACCTTTTTTAAGTTAGAACTAATAATAGAAATAGAATTAATCGACAGACCGCTATTTACAAGCAACGATTACACCTAATCTATCCTAGACATATGTCCTTGTGAATACTATTAATAAATAGTCATATTTTTGATGTACTTTAGATACGTGGACGTGTTGAGTGGTCAGTTAGAACAGAAGCTGTCAGTGTGCAGCAAGATGTGCAGGCTGGCGGAGCGCGAGGCGGAGCGCCGGCGCGGGGCGGAGTCGCGCGCTGCGGACCTCCGCCCCCTGCTCGCGAGAATTATACAACGCACTAAAGAATTGCAGGCACAGGTAATGTACCTAATTATATTACAGGTTAGCTGGCGCCTGAATAAAAAAACTTAATAAGTAGCCCATGTGTTCTTACAGATTTTTTCTACATCTATGCCAAATTTCAACAAGATCCGTTAAGTCCTTCCGGAGATATTTTTAAACAGACATCCATCCATCTAAACATTCGCATTTATAAGTAAGATAATGTAAACATTAGTGTAATATGTTCAAATATAATGTATGGATGGATGTTTGTTAGGTATCTCCAGAACGGCCTTATGGATCTCGATGAAATTTGACATAGATGTATAAGATAGTCTGGAAGAACACATAGGCTAGGCATAAGCATAGAGTCGTGGGCAACATCTATTATATTATGTTTTTTACTCTATTGCTTTTAAATAAAAGATCTGTACCATTTTCACTTAGATTGTAAAATCATGTTACGAATATCTATGTGGTTTTTTTCATATAGAATTGTAAGTATGACTGTTTGTATGGAATTTAGACGCTTCAGTGAAAAGCATCATCATCATCAGCTCACTATACGTCCCCACTGAGGGGCTCGGAGCCTACCCTAAGTTAAGGGTGATTAGGACATAGTCAACCACGCTGGCCAAGTGCAGTGACTTCACACATATCTTTGAATTTCTTCTCAGATATATGCAGGTTGCATCACGATGTTTTCCTTCAACGTAACAACGTCGGATATGTAGATATGTAAATCGTAAATGGAAAAGCACATTGGTACATGGCGGGATTCGAACCCAGGACCTGCAGATTGCAAGTCAAGTGCTTGACCACTGCACCACCGACTCGCGTGTGTCGCTAGTGAAAACCATGCTAATTAACATTTTAAAGTGAAAATCTGTTTTTTTTTATATTTTCTAGATCGAGGCAGACATTTCTAAGAAGTACAAGGGAAGGCCGGTTAATGTTATTGGTGGAGTGAAATTTCTATGAGAATATAATATTTTTGTACATATAATAAATATATGTTTTTTAAACTATGTCTTTAATTATATAAACATCCCTAACTTACTTGTATGTTTGTTTGTTTGAAGGTATCTTTTTTTTTTTTTTCAGAGGGGAATGCTTTAGGCTTACTCCGTGCCTCGGGGAAGGCACGGTAGTTATGTGGGATTCTCTCCCCGAATGGGAGCATACCCACTAAACCCCTCTGTTCCCTCATAGCCATAATGTGGGACGCCACGGGATCGTGTTAACTTACCACCGCGACGCCCCACTGACCAGCCCGAGAATAGGGCTCCTCAATGCGCCCCTAATGGGGCGCTGCACCCGTAGGCGCTCCTCAGAGACGACAGTTTGAAGGTATCTACGAAACAGCTGTATAGATCTCGCTGAAATTTGGTATAGATTTAGAACATAGTCTGGAAAAACACATTGGCTACTAATTATGTTTTTTTTAATTCCATGCTGATGGAGTTGCGGACGACAGCTAGTATATAAAAAATCAATTTATGAGAGAGCCACATGGAATTTAAAATCTAAGAAATAAAATATGTTGCCATGCCAACACTAACCTAAAAGTACGAATTCAAGCATCAAAAATAACTTTCACTGTTCTGATCAAAATGTGAGTTTAGTTATTTTGTAATTTAATTAACACGACTTCGTTTAGGGGTAATTTCCCACGAATATGATAAATCTAATATTTCAATAAAACTTATGACAAGGGATGATGACGAACAAATTAGTAAATTACTCCAAATTACGTATGGTAATGTAGGTGACCTTCTACATAATTTCCAAACACTACACAGTCACACATATACACACATAAACACCCATCATCATCACTCGCACACCCCCACACAGAGGTGACACACGTCACCCCCCCCTTTTTTTTTCAGAGGGGAATGCTTATGCATACTCCGCGCCCCGGGGGGGACGCGGTAGTTATGTGGGATTCTCCGCCATAGCGGAGGCATACCCACTAAACCCCTCTGTTCCTCCAACGCATCGGGACGGGACCACGGGCACGCTTTCGCTCTCGTCCGCGGCCCCGTCTGACGTCACCCCCCTCAATAATAACCAAGAAAACTAGTTGAATACAGGATGAATTTATTTTAAACAATATTAATAATCTGTTTTGTTTTATAGAATTTTTCTATCCGTATATGTAAGCTGGATAATAATAATAGTAATATGGATACATAACTGGATAGTAATAATAATATGGATAGAAATAATAAGCACATATTGGCTTTTCTGGCGGCTCACAATTCTTTGGTACTTCGCCATTTCTTCGAAGAATAGTCGCAGTGAAACATAGTTGTGCTAATGTCAATAAAACTATGATAATATGATGATATTTTGGCATCTGAAAAAATAAAGAAAACAAATGTATTTTTATTTAATATGCTATAATTAATTTAGTTTAGGTATCAGGCATGCACGTTCTTACGGTGATGGAAAACATCGTGATGCAACCTGCACATATCTGAGAAGAAATTCAAAGATATGTGTGAAGTCAACCAGCACTTGGCCAGCGTGGTTGACTACGGCCAAATCACCCTTAACTTAGGGTAGGCTCCGAGCCCCTCGGTGGGGACGTATAGTGAGCTGATGATGTTGATCAGGCATGCGAGGATAAATTACGTCTCTCATGAAATCGAAAAAGAAAAAAAGATACTATTATAAAGCATTATTAAATAAATATTTTTTTTGCAGATTAAAAAAAATAGAAAAAAAAAATTAAAAACTATACTTACGACTACAATAAACGCAAAATATTGATTTTTAATACTTCGCCACTGTCTTTAATGAAGATTTCCAATCGTAATTTCGTTATTTTTTTGTGCAACACTAATCGATTATTTCTACTCATGATGTATTAATTATACGATTCGATTGTGAGGTTTATTCTTTAGTGTGGGCATTATGGACATGATTCCACAGTGAGCAATATAAATTGGAAAAAAAAAAAATATTTTGTTCTAAAGTATGTTTAAATTGTATTTGTGCGTATGTCGTCTTATAACTTGTTCCTCACTGAATCACGTTGTTTTACGACTTAAAATTCAATTAAAATTATAAGTAATCAGTTGTATACGTTATTAGCATAAAACAAATTAAAGTAGATATTGAAAATATTTCGCTGGATGAGGAATTTTTCGAAGTTCCATTGTTTGACCTAGGTAAGGGTTAAACAATTGGCAATCGATTTAAATTAATTTTAATAGAGTTGTTAGTTCTTTTGCACACTATACTATTTGAACCCTTGTGTTATGCGAGTGGAAAACAATTCATACGTACGTTTCGTTTTGTTATTTTTATCTTAGATCTTGTATTTTTATTTAAATGATAAAAAATCAAAAAATAGGTCAACCTGTAAAAATTAGCAATCACTTTTATTTACACTAAAAATATGTTAGACATTTGTATTTACAATATAACACTAAAAATTAATTCTATTTATTACAAATTAGTGGTATTAAGCTTAACTAAGGGTAGGCACCGAGCCCCTTGGTGGGGACGTATAGTGAGCTGATGATGATGAGTGGTAATAATAACTATTTAATATGGCCCTATCGAAACATGAGTAAATTTTGTAATAATCGTAGTGGAGAAGAGTGACAAAGTGCCCGCCCTCGAGGACAAGAGTATCTTTTGACACACATCGCAAACTTCCTGTCACATTCACAGAGTCTCCCAGCACAGCCGTTAATAATATTATGCCGTGTCTGGTAATTCTCTAGTGCACAGAGCGGTTGATTGTGATAACACTTCCAATAGTAAGGCTGGAAGTATACAGTGTAGAATGGACAGTAGATATTCTCGTAACACTCGTCATGGAGTCGACAGCAACTGGAAGTTAACACACAAAATCCTTAAAGTATACTTAGAGTAAGATAAAGAAGAGAGAATGAGATGAGAAATCTACTTAACAGACCATTGTAGGACTTTGAAACAGTTATTGAATATTGCTTGTACATGATCTGAATTTAGTAAGCAATAAAAGAATGAATGAATGAAAAAATTGGAGACAGGAGAGATTGATTTAATTGTGAGTGAATGAAAAAGGTAACGTGAATTATTGTAGACCGTCAAAAAGAGAAAAGTTGCATATTTGGGCCATGTCTTGCGACACGAAAAATATGAACTTCTTCATTATGATGGGCAAAATCGCAGGCAGAAGACGAGCTGGAAGGAGGAGAAAGCCGTTGCTGAGAAACATCCGGGAATGGACCAATATTGCCAGCGTTGAACAACTTTTTCGCTTAGCACAGGACAGGAAAGGGTTCGCTGAGCTAACGGCCAACCTCCAGTAATGGAGAGGCATTAGAAGAAGAAGAAGAATAACGTAAAGAGATGTGCAATTATCTACTCAAACTTACTTATCAATCCCATCAGTAGGTCGACCTGAGCCCAGGAAGCCGCAATAGCAACCGTAGCCCTTGTAGGCAAGCGGCTCGCAGCCTGTTGCGCAGAATATCATATTGTACAAGTGGAGTACTCCCCGTTTGCCGCGATTTTCATTTTTATTTGTATACACCTTAGGGTCTATATTCCTGTAAAAATAATATATACATTTAAATAAACGATGAGTTTCCGTGAAATGCTGAATTGTATATTTCTATCTCTTTCGTTTTATTTCTATCTATATCCGGGATTAATTATAATTTCTATCCATATTAGATTAGATTTATAAGGTCGTGGTGCTATGTCTAATCTTATAATCTGTAACCACTATGTGACAGAACATAGGTCCAAATAAAGAGAATATACTAAAAAACTTTTTGGCACAGTTTATTGAGAATAACTCAAAAACTACTGGATACTTTTTAATGCGACCAAATGACACGCAATACCTTTCGAAAAAAAAAATATGAAAATCGGATAAATAGCGGCGGAGTTATCGACGAACAAAAAAAAATATACAAACGAATTGAGAACCTCCTTTTTGAAGTCGGTTTAAAATATCACTTACCTAACACCTTTAATGTAATCACCCTCTGGTACTGAGTATCTGTAAGGGTCGTGTGAAAATCCTACTAGTAATTGATTGTTTCTAGAGTTGTCGTTAGCTTTTAAACTATGTATATTAACTTTGGTTTGATCTCTATCATTATATCTATTGTTACTATGACTATGTGATGGCTGTATGCTGTAAGGTGTCTCAGGTATTTGCGCATAGTTTGTGCTATTGTATATTTCATCGTATGTCAAATATTTTGACCAATCTGAAACAAAAGAGTACTATTAGAGGATAAAGTAACATCCTAGACCTTTCACTTACATCGTCATATGTACAGTCAGCTGCATAAATATGTGTACAAAAGTTTAGAAACGTGTATTGGTCGTCAGTTTCCAAAATACTTATGCATTTTGTCGCCAACAACATATACTTATGGTCGGAAGCATACGGACTAAAGCATACATATTTTAAAACCGAAAGCGTAAAAAAAATTATGATGCATTGTAAACGTAGAGATATTTATGCAGCTGACTGTACTTCCCTTCCATATTCCTATCAGCCGTCTTATTAAGATAAGTTCATTTCTTTCTTTCACATATTCTGTTTCACACAATCCTCTTTTACTTTCTTCCTTTCTTCTACTTCTACTCTTGTATTTTATTTTCTATTCAAATTAATTCCCATTGCTATCGGATAAAACAAAAGATTCTATAAGACTTTTCAAAAATCTTGGCGACCCAAGGTCATCAACGCGCAGTATCCTACCCCGCATCCCGCTACACCCCGATACAGCTAAAATTGTATTTTAGCCAGCGTCTCACGCAAACTTAAGAGCTGCCACGATTTATAAAAACACTAGCTGTCGCCCGCGACTCCATCCGCGGGAAAGTAAAAACAACATAATTATGTGTACTTTCAGGTTATGTTCTACATCTCTGCCAAATTTTAGCAGGATCCGTTCAGTCGTTCTTGTGATACCTTCAAACAAACATCCATCAAAACAATCGCATTTATATAAGTAAGAAGTAATATAATAAAACCTGAATAATATATTTTTAAACTATGATTAACTATAGTTTTTATCTTTAATTGAAATACACATAATGTTGGCTAAAGAACAATGATTTTCCACCGGACACTTAACCTTAATGATCATTGCATTGTATGAAAAAAAATTAACAAACATTTTGTTATACATACATCCTTTCCCATATCAAGATTTTTAAAATGAAAAGATAAAAAACACTGACCCAAAAGGTATCAATGGTATAAATCAGTAATGTTTACGCACTAAATATCTTTTACAATAGCTTGTAATGAACGTATAAAGAGATCGTCTGATATATTTCAATGGACGACCAACGGACCGGTAAAATAAACGTTTGCTATCAACCTAAAACATGGGATGAATATTTTAAAAGTAACTCGTATTAATCAAATAAATCTTAACGAATGTTTTTCTTTCATTTGCAATTATATAGGTTGATGTGAAAACATTTTTACGTGTTTAAAATATTGTTAAATTAATAATTTGATAGATGTTACATTTTTCATGATTAATTCTGTTGTAAATAATAATTAATGAATTACTAGCTGTCGCCCCCGACTCCGCCTATGTGTTATTGCAGACTATGTTCTACATCTATGCCAAATTTTAGCGACATCCATGCAGCCGTTCTCGAGATATCTTTAAACAAACATCCATCCAAACATTCGTATTTATAATATAAATTAGCAAACAGTAACAATGAAAATTAAACGATTATGGACTAAACATTTGTTTCATATAATTACAATATATTTAACGTGATTAGGAATTAGAAATCGAGTTTAAAATCGATTTTACTTTGTAATTTCAACGAACAACGAGAAAAACTCTATATTTACATGTACTAATATCGATTTTCAGTGCACGTTGATAAAAGAATTATTTAACAGTTCTTTTTAATAATTAATTGTGCTAAAGGTAAACCTGGTTATTTTATTTATTTATATATATATTTATTTTTTTGGCGGGAAATGCTAAAGCAAGCAAATAGAGGGGTCTAGGCTCCCAATATGATTTTGTCCCATTCGGCGTCGAGACCCTTGGTCCGTGGGGTCCTAGCGCTTTAAGGCTTTTTTAGGAAATATCAAAAAAGTTAATCGACAGGAGACGGAAGAGCAGGCAGCTACATCGGACAAGGAATTAGTATAGCTATTCAAAGGGGGAACGCTGCCAGTATCTTCGGAACCTTGCCTAAAGGGACTCCTTTTAATAATATATTTTTGTTTTTAATATTTTATTTAATAACATAGAATTAATTATATATTACTGACATAAATATGAAAGAAATTTGTAAACTTATATAACAGACATTTGATAAACAAATTACAAATTTAGCCGAAAATGAGAAATGTAAGAAAAAACTTGTAGTAAATTATTTGACAAGATTTAGATGTTTATAAGAACATCTCATTTATACTGCAACTTACTTCAAAGGGAAATTCTGATCCTCCTTAATCTTTACAAGTTATTTCTTACAAAATCAACGATTTCATGTCAAAATTCTTTAGTGATGTGTTTAGTCATTGTTTCATTATCTATTTGTCGATAGAAATCGTGTCTATAATGTCAAGGTTTCCTAATATGTACGAGTTATTACGTAATTAGGCCACAAATTATCATGAATGATTTGCAAAATGCTTTGTGATTTGATCTATTACAAATGATTTTCATATTAAATTCTTTGTCTGTTTTGTGTAGCAAAGAAACTAATTTGATTAATATAAAAACTTTGATTATAGTTAGAGTTTTTTTTTTATCTTACTAATATTATAAATGCGAATGTTTAGATGGATGGATAAATGTTTATTACTAAGTATCTCCTGAACGACTAAACGTCTCAATGAAATTTAGCATAGATGTAGAACACATTCTGGAAGAACATATAGGCTACTAATTAAGTTTTTTTTTTCATCCGAATGGGCGCAACCAACAGCTATAATTATAATTTTTTTAAACACATCGGGGCACAATTAAACTTTTAAGGTCTTGTTCATAAAGCAAATTGGATTGTGAATGAAAAATACGTTCTAAAGTGACTGTAGTGATGTGCTTTTTATCATTGTCATTGTCGATAGAAATCGTGACTTAAATGTCAAGGTGCGACAGCGTGTAATCTCTGATCATGCAACGACATTCTTTTGCAAGGGCTAATAAGTTAAAGTAATGCGTCGAATCCATTGATGATGATTCGGTGTTTTGTAATATAACTGAACTTTGATAATGAGCCTAGTAATGAGTATATAGCTTTTACTTATCAAAGACTGTTAGTAGTACAGTCTTTGATAAGTTTAATTTTAAGTAAAATTTAATTTGCAATCGACCAAAGATTGAATACCGTTCGGTAAAAGTAAAAATAAAGACAATACACCTTTTTTTTCCAGAGAGGAATGCTTTATGCATACTCCGCGCCCCGGGGTGGACGCGGTAGTTATGTGGGATTCCCCTCTATATAGGAGACATAACCACTAAACCTCTCTGTTCCACCAACGCATCGGGACGGGACCACGGGCACGCTTTCGCTCTCCGCGGCCCAAAGACATTACACCTTGTTATGTCTTGTGTGCGAAAAACTCAGTGGGCCATATTAATTCTTAGGACTATCTTACGAATTGGTTAGTTATTTTATTATATTGGCCTTCTAATTTTAGTCTAAAGACATTTTTAAACAAATGCCAAGTTACAAAATATCATCCTCCCACATTAGATGTCTTTATTTAGTAAGAATATAATGACCATGTGCTACTATTGCTGTTATTGTTTTTTATAAATCTCACGGACATTACAAATACAGACCGCCCTCGTATTAACATACAATGAGGTTTAGTGTTACCATTTAAAGTTGTATATTATCAGATTGTATATTTGCGTGAATACATTATCCTTATGAAATCATCTCAGGATTATTAACATACTGTAGCCCGTGACTCTGTCCGCGCGTGGTTAAAAACTTAATTATTAGCTTAGTAGTCTGGTGGTCTTCCAGACTATGTTCTACGTCTATGCTAAATTTTATCAAGATCCGAGCGACCGTTTTGGATATATATAACAAACATCCATTCGCATTTATATATACTTAATGTAGTGCATACACATACAGCGCATAGAGCGACGGTGGCTCAGGGGTTTGACTTGCAGTCAGAAGATTCTGGGTTCGAAACCCGCCGTATACCAATGTATTTTATGATTTTTAAAATATATGTAATATGGAAATTTATTCGACTTTCTTATAGTGAAGGAAAACATCGTGATTTAACCTGCAAATATCTACGAAGAAATTCAAAGATATGTGTGTAGTTAACCCGCACTTGGCCAGCGTGGTTGACTATGGCCTAATCACCCCTAACTTAGGGTAGGGTCCGAGTTCCTCGGTTGAGACTTATAGTGAGCTGATGATGAATGTAGTGCATAAACAAGACAGAGCTAAGTGCATGTAAAATAAATGATGGTGTCGAAAGTTTTTATCAAAATTTCAAGAAGTTCATAAGACAAAATAAAGCCTAGGTAAGTTGGTTGATTCCATTAATGTGTGAAGTCTTTACGATGATTGGCATATTACGTAGTAACTTTGCCTAAGGTATGTTAAAATGATCTGCAAAGAGACCTTGGCCTAATAGTAATCGCAAACATATATTAAGTTTTGAGCATACAAATCTGATTGCTGGTATAACATTGATGAGTTCGCGCAAAGATATTTGTTTACGTAATATTGAATTAAGTAGCTGAGTTTATGGAATCATACAGGGTGTTATTTTAATCACAGATTTATTTTATAATCTTATTTTGCTAGGCTGAAGAATAGATTCGATTTCTCGCACATTTTTTTCTTATCCATACTACATTACTTTATAATAAAAACTTGCTGTCGCCTACGACTCTGTCTGCGTACTATTAAAAAACTAAATTAGTGACCTATGTGTTCTTCCAGACAATGTTCTAGATGTATGCCAAATTCAGCGAGATCCATGCAGCCGTTCTGTTAAAACCTTCAAACAAACATCTATCTATCCATCAAAACATTCGCATTTATAATATTAGTAAGTCTCTTATTTTAACTATACGATAACTATTATTTTAAAGGAAAATATATACAACATGTAATAAAAACGCAATAGGTAATACGAAATAATTTAGCGGATGATTATAAAAAACGGTTTCATAAGAGAAAGTGCGTTTTTGGTCAGTGAAAATGCGAGTGAGTAGCAAGATAGTGGACCCCGTATTATAATATGACCGGTTGACCGCCAAACGGGCCATTGACCACGTGTCCATTGTCACACGTCACTTACCGTGATTTTTTTCTGTGTTATCAACGATATTTTTATACACAGATTTTGCTGTCAGAAACCCACGGTAGGTAATATTGATCTTCATTCGGAACAAGGGATATAAGATGCAAGAGAGAAGTATGTCAGATCATATACTGGAAACAAAGAATATTATAAATAAATCGCGTAGAGCGGACAATAGAAATATTTTCGTAAACGTTCCGTAAATTAAATTATTCAAACTTTCGTGAGACATTATACTAAACTGATATATAAATACGGCTAAATGTGAGCGACGGGCCGCGTCCGCGAAATAATACTAGTACTCATCCTGATGAAGGGCCGCCGATGGGCTCGAAACTAGTCGGTGCCGCCACCGGACGAATATACGTTAGTTCCGTAAATGTCAAATTAACTTACATTACATATGGGCACAACCCATAGATTGTGGTTTGGTTCCTACTACCCTGTCTATACATTTATAAGTTGACTCTTTGACTTTAAATATTTCTAGGTTAGATCTGCGATTTTTTTATAAAGACGTGTACGATGAAATTACTTTGGCAATGGACATAAATCTTAATGAGAGTGAAATGTATCGAAGTGACCGGGTACAGTGCAGTAGTGAAAATTGGACACCGGTTTTTATGTAATGTAAAAGTGATATCCTCTGTTAACATAAGTTATCTGTAAAACTTTATAAGTCATTGATAAAATATTTTGTGTCTTCAGATTTTAATGTTAAGTGAATTTTTACAGTGAATTTTTATTTTTAAAATCACATGATTATTATAGTTTCTTTGAATTTCTGTTAAATAATTAAATCAATACTGCTAAACTATCTATAAATAATTTAAAAAAAATTGCTTTAAGTGACGTCATTTGGCTTGAATGTCGTGCTAAGCCAAAAAACAGATTAAAAGAAATTATTCAAACTTTCGTGAGACATTATAATAAACTGATATAAAAACGGCTAAACACTCACGTATATTCGTCCGGTCAGTGGGCGACGGGCCGCGGCCGGGAAATAATACTAATACCACTCATCCTGATGAAGGGCCCCCGATGGGCTCAAAACTAGTCGGTGCCGCCACCGGACGTATATACGTGAGTGTTTAGCCGTGTTTATATATCAGTTTAGATTAAAACAAAGTTTACACAATTATGTAGATTATTTATTTCGGTTGGTTTATAAGTTTTAATTGTGTCTATTGTCATATTTTTAAAACATTTTTTTTCTTGTTTAATAATTGTGTAAACGAGTAGTGAATCCCTTATTAAGTTACTTATGCATATAGACATCCATATTTTAAAATTACAGGAAAAAAATAGTGTGAAATTGTTTATTATTAGTCGTAAAATATGTATTTGTATCATATACCTTGTAGATGCAAATTGCATCTTAATGCCAGTGGTAAAGGCCACGGTCGGTGCGTCTTAGTCACGATGGATTAATCAGAATAAAAACACGTTGTTACAATCAAGAATTTGCAAATGTATTAAAATGTATATCGACAAATATATATGACACGGTAGGATTTAGTGAATCTACGATAAATTATATAGCTCTATAGCCATTGTTAATATCAAAAGAGATTCTTGTATGACTTTCTTTCACATCTGTCTTTAATTTTGTCCTGAGTAATCGTGATAACAGCGTCCTGTCACCGGGCCAGACAAGTTTTTCAAACTATGAATTTCTGCACGTGAATTTACGATTGCAACAAAAAAAGTCGTGTTCGTGTGTTATTGTGGGTCAATAGTTTAAGACAATATAAGTTAGAATCCTTTGATGTGAATGGCGCGCTTTCGTTACCAAGTCAAGTGTCAGATTGATTAGTGAGGGGACATAAACGTTGATATTTTAATAAGGCTAGTGTTGCAACGATATACCGGCACATTGTCGGATTTTCTTCCTAAAAAAATTACTCAATTAATAATTACTCAATTATTTTAGGAAGAAAATCCGACACTGTGCCGGTGTATAGGAGGAACACTAGTCTTATTAAAGTATCAACGTTTATGTCCCGTGTTTACTTAGGGATCCATTTAATACTTAATCATCATCGTCAGCTCACTATACGTCCCCACCGAGGGGCTCGGAGCCTACCCTAAGTTAAGGGCGATTAGGCCATAGTCAACCACGCTGGCCAAGTGCGGGTTGGTTGACTTCACACATATCTTTGAATTTCTTCTCAGATATGTGCAGGTTGCATCACGATTTTCCTTCACCGTAAGAACGTTGGATAAATGTACATAAATGTAAATCGGAAATCGAAAAACACATTGGTACATGGCGGGATTCGAACCCAGGACCTGCAGATTGCAAGTCAAGCGCTTGACCCTCAGTAATACTTAATACTCATTAAGTAAGTAATTAGTAACAATAAAATATAATTATAATTCCGTTCTACTATGTTTCCTTATATATTACATTGTAAAAGACATATAAGGATAGGAAGGATATGAAAGGAAGTAAATTTCTAGTGTTTAAGTAAACATATGATGTGTACTATTAGTAATTTACTTTATGTATATGTAAATATATGTTTTATTTAAAGGTCGATAAAGGCAAACTATGTTGAATAAATGATTTACATTGAAATTGTTATTTTATTCATCTCAACAATGCAATCATCTGAACATGATTAGCGTAGCTAAGTACTAAGAATAGCTTCTAGTATCATATCATGTTTCATGTTGGGGATTACGTTTACTTTAAACGCATTTCTTTTTAAGCGTTTAAATTCACACATATTATATTATCATCATCACACAATCAGCCTAAATTCTTCCACTGCTGGACGTAGGCCTCCCCCATCGATTGCCACAATGCCCACACACATACAGTTTAAACTAATTAAAGATAAACGATTATTAAAAACTAGCTTAGAAGTTAATTAAGTGCATCTACTATTTTCATGTAGTAACATCGCAAAGAGAGTTTGTTGCAGTTAATGTGTTAATTTTAAATAAATGGAGAGGCGCTAATAAGCACTTTAAAAATTATAATATCTATTTAGACATAAAAGAAAAGTTACAAGATACACGACGAGGATTTGATACATTTTGACATTGACAGGGGGGCGCTAGTGAGCTAGCATTTAGTTAGATTAATACGCACAGGGTCAAATGACTTTGTCGCTCTATATTGTTGCGGTTACCGTAAAACGTCATTTCCGGTCTCCCGTTACCTCCAAGCAAGCGTTTATGTCAAGCGTCCCATTATAACCGTCTCCGTGCTTCGGAAGTTACAGTAAGCATTAAGTTCCGTATACTTAGCTACGGAAGTCAACTTCGGTCAAGGTAGCAACGCAACTAAGAATAGGTCACATTTTTTTTCGCTGTTTTTGTAGGAGATACAGTTTTTTTTTTAATAAAAGATGAGTGATAAGAACACCGAGGTGATCAACAACACCCATGGACGTTTGCAACACCAGAGGAACTGCAGATGCGTTGCCAGCCTTTAAGGAAATGATATGGTCGCTTCTTGAAGGACCCTAGGTCGTATCGGTTTGGAAATACCGCCTATAAGTTCTTCCAACCAATGTTCTATATCTATGCCAAATTTCATCCATCCATCCATTCATCTTTCCTTATATTCTTAGTAAGTTAACATTTGTTTCAGGGATAATGTAGAATTTTAATTGTGACTAATTTTTTTAGTCGATCAGCCGTAGTTTTTGAGTTTATCAGTTACAATTATATAAATCTCCTTGCAATAGTAGATTTAACATGTAGGTTAACCTAACCTTAGTGCTTACTTCTTCTAATTCATTAAGAATGTAATTGGTGAAAGTAGTTTTTATTCTAATTTAAAAAGTTTTAATAGTTCCGCTAGATCTCTTAATAGTATTGCATAGAAAGTTATATAAATGTTACGGTTAAATTATGAAATATGGCTATTTGTTATGCGCATAAAGTACATGTTTAAAACACTGAACTAATGACATACATAAAGCGTTATAAAGATTACCCGTAGTCGAACATTTATACATAAATATATGTATCGAGGAGAATCGTAAGAATATATTTTAAAAAAAAGAATGTCAATATCGATTTTACAAAAATCGATTATGAAGATTTAAGCACAAAAAACCTGCGTAACATTTTTATACCACTTACTCTTTATATAATCTATATATATACATAAAAGAAAGTAGTGTTAGTTACACTATTTATAACTCAAGAACGGCTTTACCGATATGGTTGACAATTGGTGAGGAGGTAGCTTAGAGCCAGGAGACGGACATAGGATACTATTTATTCTTTTTTTTTCGAATTTATGCCTTAAAGAGTTGCTTTTATTTAACTTACTAATATTATAAATGCGAATATTTAGATGGATGTGATGTGGATGGATGGGTGGGCTTCACCAATTAAGTTTTTTTATATATCCACGCGTACGAAGTCGCGGGCTACAGCTAGTTTTATATATTTTTTTAATTACAGGCCCTATCTATATTACTTTTTGAGATGTAACAATATGGCGCGGGGCTAAGCCCATATTAATTTCAAACAAATAGCATGGAACCTCCTCAGTTATAAAATTGTTTCCTCTGCCTACTTCTCTGGATTAAGTACGTTGTAAGTTGCCGTTTTACAAGTGACATTAGTAATGACACGTTACTTTTTACACATGGCCGCGAATTATCGCGACATTAAAGTGGTACACTCATTATACGTCGTTATCTATTACAGCAAATGCCAAACACATATAACTTTTCTGTTCTTAAAATTATTTCTAACCATTTAAACAAATAATTAATGTAACCAAAATCAGTTTATATTCTAAAGAAATCTTTTTGTTTATAACATACTTGTCGACATAGAAGTATATGTTTTAGGTGTATGTTAATTTTTAAAATAATATTTTTATGAGATAAGAGGGATATAAACTATGGAAACACGGACGTCAAGAATTGCATGCGATGCTGGCCTTTATTAATATTTCAGTACCTGGATTTGGAAAAATACCGGTTTTTTTTTTTAAATTGTGTTTTTTGGAAATTATATTTAAGTACGAATTACTAATAAAATGATGAAATATGAATAATATTTTTCGATCTTACCGATAGAAAAAGTTAAGTTTATGTTTAAGTTGATTATCGATAAAACCCGAATAAAATGACATTTTCTAAAAATGATTCCTAGCTAGATCGATTTATCGCCCCCGAAACCCCCTATATACTGAATTTTATGAAAATCGTTGGAGCCGATATCGAGATTCCAAGAATTGCTCATTTAAAGATATAAGATTATAGAAGCGACGAGTGACTTTTCTCTCAAATTATGAAAAATAAATTAAAAGTATAGATTGTGTATATCTCCAGTAATAAGATAGAGAACACTTTATAAATCACGAGAAATTGCAAACATGTTTCATACTTTCAAAGATCCGAATGGATTATTATTTTTAATAGCTGACACTACATCGTACTTTTACCAGGCAATGACCTTTTTACCTTCAACTCAACTTTGTGTTTAAAAAAAAATGTTTTACAATATTAATAAAATAGGATTACTTTGAAAATTGATAAATACTTTTATATTATTTAATAATAAATAATTCTCTTACTTTCGCAAAATATCGATGGCACCAGCAACACTAAAATAACTACAAACACTGAACTATCAAATTTGCCTTTTTTTAAATTAACCCGTAGACCAAATTCTTTTTTAATATTACATTTATTTTTTGTCCACTCCATCACAGGATATTTTAACATATTAATACTCATTTTAACTTATATTATATTCATATTTATTGTGAATGCATTTTTTAAAATTTAAACGTCAACTTATGCGCGGCAAAATCGCAGCGCGCACGAGCGCTGCGTTCGCTATCAAATGACAGTTGGCAAACATCTCCCGCCATAAAGCTTTTAAAAATAAATGAACAAAGATCTTGATCAATTTTCTGCTTTGTGATTACACTTGCATGATTAGCTAACGATGTAAATAAATTCTGTGTGAACTTCTTTTATTTTAATTGTTATTTTTTTCTAAAGCAATAATACACTGCTATCTTTGTATCAAAAATTGTGCCAAGGTTTATGACTTAATACGCATTTTTAATAATATAATATTTTTGGATACTGTAACATGTAAAAATAAATAACTGATTTTGTAAAACAATAAAAATAAAAGCTGCCAGTTTTTTACAACTATAATTTGGGAAAGTAAAGTACAAATAAAAGGCCAATTAATCATGTTCGACGAATATTTATGCTGAAATGTCTCCCTTCCTGTACCTTCGTAAAGAATGTCACTTGACAACGCAATAAATAATAATGTAAGATAATTTTTATGAAACCAAACCGGCCAGTAGTTTTTAAAGAGAAAAAGTTCAGCATTTTTATGACCAAGATTATAAGCACAAGTGAGATCGGAGAGTGAGTAACGTCTTTTTAAATCCTGGTAAACATAGTAACTG